GGCCGATTATGTAATACTGCTACAGGTTTTGCTTATATGTCCCAAAGAGTACGCAGCACTTGCCACTTCCTCGAAAGAGGTCTAACTCCATTGTGAGAGTAAACAGCATGTTCAAAGAAACTAAATCCAACATATCGTTACGGTCCGACTGAAACTCTCACCCCCATACTGTCTTGAAATATTTCATTTGAACGAGAAATCCATGCTATCTCTGAGTCTTTATGTCTCGCTTTTGTTGCCATGCAATGCTCACATCACCACACTATCTGTCCTCCGCAAATAGTCGACAATATGTAGTGACGCAGGGGTATCAGCCATGTGACACTGATATATGCTTGACAAGATGTCATTAAATTGTGTCAGACTTACTTGTAGTACTTGAATCTGTCGCCTGAGCACTGTGTGGGCCCTCAAATTCGGACTCGCCGAAGGCATTCCATATGCCAAGGTGACATACAAAGGTCGAACCATTCGCTAGTGAAGTCCGCAATGCAGCACATTGATATCACTCCCAGTTTGTCAATCGATGTCTTCCAACTCCCCATCATCTGTGGCCATTGTCGTTTGGTTTCTCCTCTTTCAGGGCCGTCCATGGAGTACATAGTAGGCGAAGGGGTGTTGTTGAGGTACACGGGATTCTTTCAATGCAAGTGATTACAGCCTATGCTGTTCCTGCTCATGCAGAGCTCAACGAATGGATCTGCGGGCTCCTTCCTATACCACCTGGCAGAGAAACCCGCCTTCCCTCCCATCCTCAACTACCTCACTCTCTTGCTTCACAGATTCTGCCACCCTGTTCTCCCTCTTCGCGTTTCTCTGCATCTTATGCAACTCTTATCCCCGTCCTCGCGGTGTCCGAGTCAAGGGTTCATAGCACTACATTCTCACTGATAAAAGACTCGAACCTTCTAATTCACCTCTCACCTTCTCGAATCCCCTTGTTCTTCCGCCATCGCCTCCGCGGTGCAACCCGTCGAGTTCCAGGAATCGCACAAGCGCCATGAACAAACCAGAGATCTCAATCCCAGGCGCCGAGGATGAACTCGTGAGATCCATTTTGAGCAGCCCGGTGCCCGAGTTTGGCGATCCGGGGAGGGCCGAAATCATCGCCCAGATCAGCTCAGAACTTGGCATCGGCATGGTCGACCCAAGTGTCCGGGCCTTGCTCTGGTTGGCTGATGTTGAAGCTCTCCTGGCACTGCGTGATGGGTGCATGGGATCCCGCGCCGCGTTCCGGCTCTTGCTTGGCCACGGCGGCATTATGTTCAGGGACGCGCTGACCTCATGTGAGTTAACACGATACCTCACCGGCACCGGGAATTCTGACTGACATCTTTTTTTTCACCGAGGGGCGTGCGATGTGTTTGAAAGGTGGGCGGAAGTTACCGAGGACCCGTTCCATCTGGTCCGTGCTAGGTGTCCCTCAGTTCTGGTAGTAGTGCTTCGCTCGGGATGTGGAAACTGACCAGCCACAGTGTAGGGAACGCGACCAGCTCTGTGTGATCACGCGAGACGTCAAAACTAGAACTGTGAATGTGTATCCGCATCGTCCGGCGGGGGCGTCGAATGCGGGGAGTCGGGCTACACTGTGGGAGGCTTTGGGGGTGTTTTGGGGGGAGCCTAGGGTAGCAGGCTGGAGACAAGCCGTGTTTGGCTGCGGGTGCGCGAATAAGCTCGGCAACACGATGCTTCTGCGCGATGACGTCTCTCAGGCTTGGGCGAGTTTGCACTTCGCCTTGAGACCGGTCGAGCTGAGCCGGGATTTCAAATCGCTGAGCGTCCAGTTTTTTTGGCTCCCTGGTCAGCAGTGTCCTTCCGATGTTCCGCTGCTCTCGCCCCCGGCTTTTGGTCCGGATAACACCGGGGGCTGGGAGTTCAGAAATCCCTGGAATTCGAGGAGACTGCAATCGGGTGACTTTCTTCGTCTTCTGACCCACGACCCAGAGAGATGTCCCCTGCCTTCCTTTGAGCTACTGGAGATTCAGTGGTACTTGCACCGTGCAGCTGCACTCAGTGGGCTGACCATCCCCCCACGGATCTTTCTATCGGATGAAATACAAAGAAGAGAAGGAAGTGACTCGACATGATGGCAGAGAAAGCGCACCGGGTGTTGAGGTCTAGTGTGTCGGTGGGAGAGGAACTTGGTTGTCTCTGACGTCGGGTATCGCGGGATGCAGCTTGCAATGAACATGTCTTATCTCTGTGAGAGCAAGTGTGTGTTGTGTTTATGATCCGTAGCTGGTATTCAACATACTAGAACAAAGATGATATTGTGCAAGGGTGCGAACAAAAAGAATGACCAGACTGGGGCTCGATCCCAGGACCTTATCGGTGTTAACGATACGTGATAACCAACTACACCATCCGGCCAACTCGTTGTTTCTAGCTCTAAACTATAACATCATGATCCTAATCACTGCTATCAGGGAGAAATTCAACCCGATACCCATTCCCCTTCCGTCACCACAATCGCAGAGGTTTATCTATCAAATTCTAATATCAAGGCTTATATATTAAGGCTTAGTGCTTGGTAGTTGATCATAATCTGGTGTGTAGTGTCTTGTAAATCATGTTCGCGTGCTTTTGCTGGAGACGGTTACTATTTGGAATGTGACAATTGCCAGAGGATTTGTCCTCAATATATATTTCGCATCGCCAGACCCCATCTGAGAAACCAAGGATCGGCAGACCTCTCCGACTTCTGGGGCCCCAAGTCTAACAGCACCGCCAATACCCGAGCCACACCACAGACACGATCACACAGAGTGACATCGAAGGTAGGGCTATTGCTTGTCCCTGAGAAAAGTCGCGAGTTGGTCCCCTACCACCACCATAGGAATATTCCGGGCCCCGACTTCCACCACTCCTCGTTCTAGATGAACTCTAGGTCTGCTGTCAAATATGCGAACACTAGCCAAGTCGAGCCCAATACGACTATTGACCTGTAATTGCCCCAGACAATTGTGGCAGAGCTACCATGTATTGCTGGGTAGTTTTAAGTGCTTTTTTACTGAAAAAAAGTTTGGCGGGGAACATGGGCCGGTTGAGCTGCAGCAAGAACCTTGCGAGTTGGCATATCACTTCAGTGAAGCCTGAGTACGCTTCGAGACGTTGTTTTGGGAGCTATACCACTACTTTTTCTAATTCCTCATCAACTGGCCGGATGGTGTAGTTGGTTATCACGTATCGTTAACACCGATAAGGTCCTGGGATCGAGCCCCAGTCTGGTCATGACTTTTTGCCAATTCTCCTGATGCAGATCCCTCTCACGCTGCAAGACCAATTGCTACGAGAAGATGCCCTGGAATTTCCTTTTTGTTCCACTGGGGTATCGCACCAGATGTCACCACCACCATGTGGAATGGTCGAGTAGAATCCAACGCGCAGCATTCAACGCATACCTAGAGTGTCTTCGGTCCGTCGGGTAGTCGACTAGTGCCAAGACCCGGCTTCAATTTAGCTTCATGGCGTTCACTAATCTTAGGAATCCAACTTAATTCCAAGTTCAACCCGCATGTCACAGCCCGGACCCCCGGTAGCTAAACCGCTGGGATACCTTCGGTCCGTCGGTATCCCAGCGAGTACAGTCAAAGAATTGATTATTAACCCGTGATAACTAATCATCCCTTTTACACTGGTAAAACCTTGCAAGACAGCATTCCAAGCGGCGATTAGCGCATTCCTCCGAGCATGAGTAAACGCAAACCCCCAAAGTTGGGACTTCAAATCTGGTAAGAAAATATCTGCTATCTTCTTGACCATGTAGCACTGTACTGTACCACACCCAATGTCAATCAAGCCGATTGAATTGTGGCTGACCAGCATTTGAGTTTGTAGCTTGGCGAACGGAATAGGTCTAGTTTCCGCTGCGTACTGCGTAGATTCAACGGGTCTGCAGAGCTCTGCAGAAACTCAGTGCAGCTGCGGCGTCCCTCGGTTCTTCTAGAAAGGATTCGCTGCAGAAAGTGGGTCCAATGCTCCAAAGGACCAAAGCAGATGAGATCACCAGAAGAAAATCGAAGTCGATTTGTCATCTGAGAGTTTCAATGCCTGATTGACGCCATTTCTAATCATTTCCTCCTTTCTCAAACTATGGAGTTTGGCTTTCTGCAAGCGTTTTAGACCTTCGTCTGCTATATAAACCATCCAACCCCTGCCGAAGTCCGACAGAACAATTCCACTACCAACAATCGTCCTCCCCAACCATCAATCCACCACAACGCACACTCATCCACCACCACCACCACCAACAACAACCACCACCATGTCCACCCAGAAAGCCATCGTGGTCACCTCCCCCAAGCAGGCCAGCCTGGTCCGCGACCGGGCCATCCCCGCCCTCCGCGACGACTACATCCTGGTCAAGACCGTCAGCGTGGCGCTGAACCCGACCGACTGGAAGCACATCGCCTTCCTGGCGCCCGTGGGCGTGCTGGTGGGCTGCGACTACGCCGGGATCGTGGAGGAGGTCGGCAAGAACGTGCAGGGCAAGTTCCAGAAGGGCGACCGGGTGTGCGGGTTCGTGCACGGGGCCAACGCCGTGGAGCCCGAGGACGGCGCCTTCGCCGAGTACATCGTCGCCAAGGCGGACCTGTCGACCAAGATCCCGGCCAACCTGAGCTTCCAGGAGGCCGCCACGCTGGGCGTGGGCATCACGACCGTGGGGCAGGCCCTGTACCAGAGCCTGAAGCTGGCGCCGCCCACCGCGCCCACCGCCACCGCGGAACCCCTCCTCATCTACGGCGGCTCCACCGCCACCGGCGCGCTGGCCATCCAGTTCGCCAAGCTCTCCGGCTACACGGTGCTGACCACCTGCTCGCCGCACAACTTCGACCTGGTCAAGCAGCTGGGCGCCGACGCCGCCTTCGACTACAAGAACCCCAACACCCCCGCCGAGATCCGCCGGTACACCGACAACAAGCTCCGTCTGGTGCTGGACACCATCTCCGTCGAGGCCAGCGCCAAGTTCTGCGACGAGGCGCTCTCCACCGAGGGCGGCGAATACAGCGCCCTCCTGGCCGTCGGCATCGAGCGCGCCAACGTCAACGACCGCTGGACCCTGGCCTACACCGCCGTCGGCGAGGACTTCACCTTCGGCGAGACCCCCATGCCCGCCAAGCCCGAGGACCGTGAATTCGCCGCCCGCTTCTGGGAGACCGCCGCCCAGCTGCTGGCCGAGGGTAAGGTCAAGGTCCACCGGCCCAAGGTCGGCGCCCGCGGGCTGGAGGGTGTCATGGAGGGGCTGGAGCTGCTGAAGCAGGATAAGGTCAGCGGCGAGAAGCTCGTCTACAACGTGGAGGAGACTCCTTAGATTTTGTTGGAGGGGGGTATTATGCGATATGACTATATAGAGTATTTTTAATTATGGAATGGTATTTCATTGCTTGCTGCTGTTATCTGTCAGCCTAGTATATCTCCATTTTGATAACAAAATTATATGGCCGAGGGGTGATATGGGTAACATAACCGAGAAAAACAAGACTATATTATATGACCAGGGAAGCATCTGTAAATATCTTCCCGCGAGTTTCGAGCAACCGGAAGTCAAGGCTTAAGCTTTCAAGAATAAGAATTAATCATCATAGCTCGTTGAAACTCTCCTTTCCTCTGTTGCTATCATGCCAGGTTGAACCCTCCCGCCACCGCCTTCTCGCAGGGTGCCAGGCTGCCAGCCCAGCCAGCAGTGCCCACTGGACCGCAGCCCGCACCCGCGGCCCCGGGCATTGGATGTGCCCTCCCAATCGAGTCTAGTCTCCGATCTGCCTGGGCCGCTGACGCATGACGGAAACTAAACCCCAACGGGACTAGCGACTTCCACCTGTCCGGTTCACACCAGGCCAAACTGTTTACTCAATTTCCATCTTTGCTTGAACCCTTCGATACGTAGTGTTACTAATGTGTCTTGGAGGGGTTCAACCCTTGTCGTTGACTTAATAATCCAGTCCTCACTGGTAGTTATTGCGCCAGCATTGCCCCAAAGGTTGACTTTGGTTGTGTCTAATTCTTGATGGGTGGATGCATGCACGACTCCCCAATCACAAGAGTAGGTACAGTACAGCATACCGTCTGCAGAAAGAACTTCAATGCCCCGGCAGACAAACCCCCCCACCAAAATCAAACCTTCCACCTCCAATCCTTCCCCGCCATCATCTCCAACCGCACCCCCAGAATACAAAAACTGGCCGGAAACAGCAACGCCATCACCACGAGCGCCGCCCGCTCGTACACCTCGGGCGCCGCCAGCGCGCGGCTCTGGGGGATCAACAGGCCCGTCAGCGGGGTGCCGAGCAACGCACCCAGCCCGCGCACCAGATACAGGGCGCCGTTCACGCTGGTGAAGTCCCGCTTCCCGAACAGCTCCATCAGCGAGGCCGGGAAGAGCGCGATGTAGGCGCTGGCGAAGGCGCCGTACAGCAGCGTGAACACGAGGAACAGCGCCTTGCCGGCGGCGGTGGCGCCGGCAACGGTCGCGGGCACCCAGAAGGCGGCGACGGCGACGGCGCTGAGGAAGGTCGTTGCAAACAGGAGATTCAGGCGCCCGTACCGGTCGGCCGCGTAGCCCAGCGCGACGCGCGCGACGGCGTTGGCGGCGTTGCTGATGGTGATGAAGTTCGCGGCCGTGGGGGCGGAGTAGCCGAGGGCGCGGCCGAAGGCGGCGTAGTAGATGAGCGGGGTCGAGTACGCGGCGGACTGCAGCATGCAGCCGGCGGCTTGGAGGAGGAATGTCTTGGTGAGCGTGAGGCGCCGGTTGAGGCGGGGCGGCTGGAGGAGGGCGCGGGCGGACGAGCCGCCGGCGCGCTGGCGCAGGGCGTCGCGCTCGCCGAGGATCTGCTGGTTGAAGCTGGGCTCCCATTTCACGGCCGGCGAGACCAGGAGGATGGCCAGCGCGCAGATGGACCCGGATACGCGCAGCGCGTTGCGGAAGCCCAGGTGGTGGATCATTGCCGTTAGAACGGAGGGCCAGATCATGCCCCCGACTGCGCTGCCGGAGATGATGATCCCCATCGCGAGGCTGCGCCGCTCGTTGAACCATGTTGGTGCCGTTGTGGTCGCCGGGATGTACGACATGGACACGCTGATGCCGACCAGCACGCCCTGGGTGAGCGCGAACTGCCACAGGGTGCGGCTCACGCTCGCTAGGATGTAGGCGACCCCGAAGATGACGCCCGCCACGGCCACCACGGTTTGGGGTCGGTAGAGCTTGATCCACATCATGACGAAGGGCCCGGTCATGGACATCAGCCCGATGGCCAGGGTGCCGATGAGGCCGATCAGCGCCGAGGAGGCGCCCGTGAAGGGGTTGTTCGGCTCGCTGGCCATTTCCTCGTAGAGCGCCTGGTACACTCCGGCGGAGAAGATGAGGGCGTTGGTCGTTAGCATGATGGTGAACCCGGCTCCGATGACCAGGAGTTGCTGTCTGCGAGCGCAGTCCTTGTAAGCCCGGCTCTGCGGTCCAGAATGGCATACTTCGTGCCGTCTCATGCGTTGTCACGAAGGGCGCACACGTACACTTTCAGATCCCTGTCCCGAGGCATTTCCGGGGGAGCGTCCCGGAATTCAAACTCCCTCGAGTCGGTCATCGTTTCTGTCTGTGTAGCCATTGTGGAAGGTACGATCTTTGACCTGTCTGGGGAGAATCAGGCCGCAGGCTTCTCAGACTGGTGCCGCTCAAGATGGCGGCGGTGAGAATAAAAGATGGAGAAAAGACTTCAGCCGCGCGGGGAAGCGAATAAGCGTCACCCCCCTAAAGTCTACCCCGGCTTTTGCTTATCCGGCCCCGGCCCTAAGTCCGAGATCCGGTTCTCCCCACACTTCATCCCCAGTTCGGTCCAGGGATCGTGTCAAGCTTCAATTGCTGGGTACGATGCAGTCATAAAAAGAGATTTCATCTATCGCACTAAGGATGAGCTGACTATCAGGTGTCAATCAGTCGAGTGAAGACACGCAGCGGTTGCAGTAACTCACCATGGCCGGGTATACTTTCTGCCACACCACCACAGACGACCACCTTATCGCACCTAACATGATAGCAATATGAAAGCCATACAACGAGTCGATACAGTGGACAGTGATATCTGGATTATGGAAGCAGTAGAAACTGCGCCTTATAGACAGGTGGCAGCAACTGGACGGAACAGATCCGAGCTCCGGCTCGCTATCTCGGCGACAAGTCCGCGCTGAGCTACAGCCAACCATTTGTTACCCGTCACAACGAATTTCGGTATAGCGAATTCTGCGACATATCGAATGTTTGACTCGCATGTAACTCATGCTTGATAGGTCGAGGTTCCTGGTACAATGAACAAAAATAGCGGTCTCAATTGCTTCGCTCTAGCCAAGGTTGAGTTCTTCCAAACTATCTCCACATCCAAACTTCAACTGTGCATGTGATTTATGCAGGCTATAAGCTACTACGAGACAGTGTCCACCACATACGACCACAGGGTGTGGAAAATAGGGCTTCCCGTCCGCTCAGCCGTACTCAAGCCACACGCCGGGAGGTTAGTAGTTGGGTGGGTGACCACCAGCGAATCCCTTCTGTTGTATGTTTTTTTTTTGCTTTCTGTCGGTTTTGCTTCGCCATGCCATCTGACCCGATGGGATTGCACATCGGCCCATACTTGGAACATCTTCACATCCTCCCCCTGACGGCCCCCTCAGTTGACAGGGTACAGTACGGGTGGAGGTATCGAGTTCAGTGCGCACGCAGTTTTGCCCCGAAGACGAAGGCGCTAAGATAAAGTCCAGGCTATCAGGCACCGTTCATGGCGCCAACCAGCCGAAGCCCCTTTCCGCCCTCCAGCCATTGCCGTCGTTCTAAACCATCAGTGAGTTTCTGTAGTGTTGCTTGTACAAGCTTCTATCGAAGGACATCCCCCTCCGCACGTCCGCAGAACATCCCTATCTTCCATGATCTTGAAAGTTCCGAGTCAGTCACGCCAATAAAAGGGGGGTCAAAGTGAACGCGCCCGCTGCGTAGGGCTATGTCCCTGGGGACGGGCCGGTGCATTTTCCCACCTGGAGCAGGAGAATCCCACTTCGTAGGTACTTATAGCCAAGTACCAGCGGAGCAGCGCGGTAGCATAGGGCAGGAGGTGTACCGTGGGCGATCTTGTGGTTTTTCTTGGCAGGGGGGCACGGTGCGTGATGGGTGATGTGGGCTGTGCGAGTGTGGGGATATGTGCTTATTCCGGCCTTCTATTCTATCTGCAATGAATAAAGGGAGGACAAACATGAAAGCCAGACAGCGACTCAGTGGTCTATGCCCACCAGCCTCGGAGCTATGTGAGGATGAATTGTCCATGTTCTTGTGGAAAGCGCAGTCGGTGCAGGTTCCACTCAACCCCTCCGGCTCCGTATTGCGGCGGAACGTGACATTTGTGTCGTCCGTGCTTGGAACATGTACTTTAAACACTATCGATGAAGATGTAGACAATTGACCTGTGTCGTTTGAGGACATGTCTGCAAGCGAGATACGAGGCCTAGACTTGGAGAGAATGGGCTCTACCCTCGGGTCACACGCGCCAGGAGACGGCAGCCAGCCGCAGCAAGGACGGCGGTATCAGACCACGCAACGCCACAATGCGTACATAAACACACCTCCAACCTGCATAAACACAGCTCTCTGAGACAGTGGCAATGACGGCCACGCATTAGCTCAAGTGACAGATCGATAGTCCGATAAGCCCGCATCAGGTGCCGGCCCGTGCCACAACCAGCGGGCAATAATAGCCGATCCGCCGCGGCCAGAACTCTGCCCTCGCCACGCGATCGGATCGCCCGTCAAGCCCCAGCTGAACGAAAGTGGGACCCTTGTTATCTGTGGTTGGGCAGGTTGGTGGCAGCTGAAGAAATGTGGAGAGGGCGAGACCCCGATAGCGTGGCGGATGGCCGCCGCCAGCTGAGTATACGAAGACACCAAAGTAGGGCAATCCCTGCCGACCACGCTTCTCAGGGGTAAGTAAATTCACCACACCACAAGGAATATAAATCTGGCTGGAGACTCTCCCCAGTCAGTGTATTCTGGCAGTAACGTTTCATTTTTCTATTTCAACCAGCGCGATGGCTCGAACGACGTCGTCCGCATACGCTCCTAAGCGGATCATCCTCTGCTTCGACGGGACATGGCAGACGGCCGTGTCCGGGCAGCAGAACTCGCCCTCCAACATCACGCGCCTGTGCCGGGCCATCAAGCCCGTCGCCCGCATCGGCGACCAGGACTGGCAGCAGGTGGTCTGGTACGACTCCGGGGTGGGCACGACCTCGCTGGCCGTCAGCAAGATGCTGGAGGGCGCCGTGGGCGACGGGCTGGACGGCAACATCGTCGAGGCCTACAACTTCGTCTCGATGAACTGGAACCGCGGCGACAAGATCCTGTGCTTTGGCTTCTCGCGCGGCGCGTACACGGCGCGCGCGGTCGCCGGCCTCATCGCCGACGCCGGCATCTGCGAGCCGCACAAGCTGCACCGCTTCCCGGACCTGTGGAAGCAGTACAAGAACCTGAAGCGGAAGGGCGCCTTCTACAACAGCGACGACTACTTCCAGTTCGTGGATGGGAAGGTCAGCGAGCACCACCGGAAGCATCCCGGCACCGCCACCGGCTTGGCCTGGGAGATGCATGCCAACCCTGGCTGGGCGCAGACGGACTCCCGCGAGGTGGAGGTCGTCGCCGTGTACGACACCGTCCAGGCGCTGGGCATCCCCGAGGTGGCCGGAGTCCAATTGCCCGCGAATCTGATGTGGTGGAAGGACCCCCCCGGTTGGCACAACGTGACCCTCTCGCGGCAGATCAAACACGCCTTCCAGGCGCTGGCTCTCGATGAATACCGCAAGGCCTTCTATCCCGAGGTCTGGTGTTTACCCTCCGGTTACCCCAACGCGGCACTCCCGGAAGTCCGCGCCCAACTGGAGGAGGAAGTCAAGAGCAAGCGGGAGGTTTTGAACAAGGCCGGCGCACGGCAACGGCAGCTGATCAAGGAGGCGGAGGAGCACGGCAGGCTCCATCCGACGGACTACGAGACCCTGGACCGGCTGGCCAAGGGCATCAACCTGGCCAGCAAGAAGGTCGGGGAAGCCCGACGCGACTACATGGTCAGCCATGACAATCTCCATCTGGGCACGCCGCAGCTCACGCAGGTGTGGTTCCCGGGCTACCACATCAACGTCGGCGGCGGCTCGAGCGACACGCTGAACAACTACGGCGACATGGAGGAGATGTCGAACATCGTGTTCGCCTGGATGCTGGACCAGATCGCGCCGTTTGTGGGCATCCGCGAAACGACCATCAAGGATCATTACAAGGACCGGCAAGCGACGATCGCCACCCTGAACGCGGCCCTGGAGAAGCAGAAGGAGATGGCCAAGACCGAGTCCTGGGGGGAGTACCTGGGTCGCGGGGCGAGGTGGCTCGGGTCGGCCGTCATGCATCCCCTCACCCCCGCCCCGTGCACCGAAACGCGCCACTATACCTGGGGATTGGGCGACATGCCCGACAGCTTCTCCACCATGTATATCGCCAACGGTCAGAAGCCGCGCGCGCCCAGTTCCCACTCGTACCTCGACGACAGAAAGGAGAAGGGAGTCCGCGGTGCCACCTGCGCCTACATCCACCCGGTGGTGAACTACCGCGTGCAGCACAAAGAGGGCTACTTGCCCATGGGCCTGACAAAAGAGCAGTATAGCCGCCAGTTGGTGGGCGAGAAATTCTTCTACACCCTCAAGGATGAAACGTTGCCGGAGTGGAATTTGGGGGGGAAGGGCTCCTATGAATTATTGGCTCTCGCGCAGGACGAGGCTGCAATTGAGTATATGGCCCAGCAGCACCATGCGGAAGCGGAGAAGCTTTGGCCTGAAGTGCAAGCGAAGCGGCAGGCTCGGGCCAACGGTGCTTAGCATCCCCCAATGATCTGTTGATGTATGTGTGGAAGAGGGGGAGCAGGAGCAGTGCAAAGATTTTGCCTCAGGCTTAGGATAATATCCATGGGTCTGCTGTCGCGGAATGAACTCAACCGTTCGCTGCGTCGAGAGCCCCGCGGCCGTCGGTGTGCGCAGACGGCATCGGACTAGGAGTTTTTCACCTGTTTCACTTTTTTACTGTTTTTCTCTTGAAGGTTTTGGGACAGCAGGAGTTGGGATGGAAATGGTCGATCATGGGATGTATATAGGTTTTCGTCGTATGAGCAATACAGGTGTGCTTGGTAACGCTGGCTAGCCCCATGAGCTGAGTAGGACATTTCATAGACCTCTGGCACTCCGCACTGGGGCTGTTGAATTCATCCGATGTACTCGAAATGGAACCCGAAAGAGTGACTCACAATCATTGGACTGCTGTGGGTTGCATGCTATCGCCAGTATGGGCAACCGCCAGTATGGATCCCATTTTGGGGAGGAAATCTCCTCCACCTCAGTATTCAGCAAGTGAGGAATGTCCAAGCATCAGCCCCGGTGCTTCACGTCAGCTATAAGACTCTGATTGAAAAGATAGCCAAGACAGATTTAGATACTTCTCTACTTGGATGTGCCCAGATCTCACAAGAAGATTAGGGCAGCATCGGAAAGGTGGAGTCCCACTGGTCCGGAGCCATGTCCGAGCGGGCGGAGTGGGGGCGCAGCCGATCAGGGGCACCAGAACAATTCCCCTTGTGCAAACATAGCTCCTATAAAGATATTATACCTCTCCAAAGCCCCCTTATTTCAGGAAGACTCAGGTTAGATCACCTGTCCTTCAACAGTCTTCACTTGGAATGGCCCGCCAGAAGAATCACGCCATCCACACCAGCCCCACCAACGACCTGCGCCTCGTCGAATCCTCTATCCCCGAAATCACTGGCATGGCTCTGCATGTTGTTTCAAGAACCCTGAAGACATTCTGAAGCAGGGGCGAGCAAGGTGCATCTCCGAAATAAGTAGATTAATTAGACGAGGAAATTACCCCAAACGACTGCGATCATCGGCGCTAAGAGCTATACGCGGTGGGGACTATAAGTTGCAGCCTGGTCGGAAAGGCTTACCTTATATTACTTTGGGGGTTAGTTTCCTCTGCGGAAATTAGTCCGGAAATGGGACCTCTGGCTGAATCCGTCTGGACTGTGTGAGAGAACTCTAAATCAGTCAATACGGGGTCTTTTCGCACGTGTGGAAGTGGGGGGAAGGCGACGTAAGCGTCAGCGGTGGATCGTGAGGATCATCTCATGGACAGGGCTACATTAGCCGGGCCGGGGGTCAGTATGACATTCACTGTTAAATTGGGGAAATCCCACGCGATGAGGCTCATGTGGCTCATGGGCCCTTTTGGCCCCCAGCCAACCTAATGCTCCTTCCTTCCCCCCTCCCCTGTCGGTCAAGTCCAAGGTGACTGAAATTAAAAAGCAAATAAGAACGGCGGTTGGCGCCTGCCCCCTTGCATACTTCACTTCTCCCTCCACTTCTCTTCAAATCACCGAAGACTCTGAGAGAATCACCCAACATGTCGATCCTTGACCTTCCTAACGAGATCCTGGATGCTGTATGGTGCTATTTGAACCTCCCGGACTGGTGCGCTCTGCGACTGTCATGCCGGGTGCTCTATTCCAAGTCGCTGGCGACGTTTGTGAGCCGTCATGTCAAGCGCATCAGTGTTCTCATCACATCTGACGGGCTGCGAGAACTTGAAGCTATCGCCGCCCACGAGATATTTCGCACGCATGTGCAGGAGCTCTGGCTGGTCCCCGAGGTGTTTCGAGGCCACTACGATGTCGACTACAACACCTTTGTGCAAGCCAAGCTCATGGCTGCGGGGTACTTCGACCAGCCTGCTGTGGCGCACGGCACACACAGTTCCATCACCGAGCTGGTACGATGGGCGATCGACAACCTGCAAACCGACTACGATTCGTATCAATCCGCGGTAAAAGCCCACCTCGAACTCATTCACGCCAACTCACTCCCTCACACGCTTGCGACCTGCATGAAACAACTCACAAATCTCTCTACCGTCGGCCTCGAAACCTACCCTCCCTCCGCAGCGGGACACAAACACCCGCCCTGTCTGGGCCGTATGGCCTTACGCCGCAGACTCAACCAACATCCATTCAGCAGTCCACACATACCCCACAACTGGGAGAGAAGCCCAGAATACCTATGGAGTGAAGAGAATCGCAGCATCCGGGCACCCGTCTTCTCCGCCCTTCTGCAAGCCATCCCCACCTCCACCGCGCAGATCCAACAACTGCGCACCTGCAGCGAAGGCGAGCACTGCGGGATTCCACCCGAACAACTCACCTTAACGGATGACCACTATACAACGCTCCAACCCCATCTTCAAGCCCTTCAAACCCTCGATCTATGCCTCCAATACACAGACCCCTGCTCCGACACGACCGAATCCCCTCTCCTACGCCTCCTCCTCGCCGCCGCCCCGACCCTCACCACCCTCAAAGTCTCCCAGTGGAGCACGAAAGACGAACTCCCCGCCGACCACTTCACCCAGTTATCGCAGCACATCCACTTCACGCGCCTGTCCACGCTCTCCCTCCACTGGATCGAAGTCACCCAGCCCAGCTTCCGGGCCTTCCTCCGCACCGCCGCCCCGACCCTGCAGACCCTCTCGCTCGTGAGCGTCAGCCTCATCGACCGCATCGACCTCCCCACCCGCTCGAACGCCTTCTACGACGCCGTCAGCGACCTCTGGCGCCAATTCTGCGACGGCCTCCGCGATGACCTCCCCCGGCTGCGATCACTCGAGATGAAGGACATGGCATACCGCGGACACGTGCTGCGCATCGAGGATGGGATGCGGGCCCTCAGCGGGAAGAAGCTGTCCCGTCGGGTCAGCGCAGCGGTGGCGTTGGCATACGATGCGACGCAGGCGGAGGTGGGATTGGCGGCGTGGCTCAATCAGCTGCAGCTGCCGGAGCACCGGTCGGCGAGACTGGGGCAGCCCTTGCCCGGCCGGTTCAGCAGTATGGCTGCGTGTTCGGATCTGCTGCGGCTGTGGGGATCGGGGTCGAAGAAGTGAGCCTGTTGCTCGGGGGTGTGCCTTGCTGTGTGTTTTGGTCGGGTAGCTGTGTTAGCAAGAAAAGGGGTCTCATCGCAGGGTGTTGGTCTTAATATGGTCGGAGATTAATGGTATAGGGGTATCGATCGAAAAACTCGAAGGGTGGGTGACCGGAGGAAAGACTGGTCATCCGGATGGGATAATCATGTATGGCTTCATGTAGTATAGTAATCTGCAGGCAAAGATAAGCTTGAATTATGCTCTGAGACATTTCTTGCTCGGCTGCGGGGAAATTCTTCCCAATAATCGCAGCCCCCCCCCTTTTTTTTTCCTGGGGGCTATGCGGTCACGTGCTCGGGATTGCCGACAGGGTCGGAGTTGCCGATGACGATCACTGGGGTATCAAGTATGTTCCAGTGCTCAGCCTGGAGTTGGATGCCACAACTACCCGGAAGATGGAAGATACCTCAAAGTCAGTCAGTAAAACTGCAAGCAGATCCCTCGAGGTCACCCCCTCATGAGAAGAAGAGACACTGCCTCGAGACTATTGTCCCGAAACAGAGCTAGCTCCTTGTCGTAAAGCATCGCGCCTGAGCATAAATTCCCGCCCTAGGGAAAAAAGATACAAGAATACCAACAAAGTCTCAGAAGCAACGACTTAAAACTACTCCGAGTATACATTAAGGATATTCCACGCAACAAGTTCTAAAATTGCGTACAAAGTACTCTAATCCAGTCATACTGTTTTTGTTTGCCTACTGGAACCAGTTGTAATAATATAAGATTGTACAATTCAGCCTGCCTTCTTCAAAGTCCCGAGCCTGCTGGACAGTCGGCCAAAGTTGGAGCTAGAACGCTGGAACCTACTAAGGCATTAATAAAATAGTCCACCAGTTCAACCTCGTCTGTGACCCTCTTTTCTTGTAGGAGGGAAGGATTATACTCTGGAAATACTTGGGCCGAGTTAAAGGCTATCCAGAGTACCTTTTTGCAGTCCCCTAAAGAAACTTATGTTGCGGGGCTTTGAATTATGATGGAGAACTTTGGCCCAGTGAGCATTGTCGAGAATCGCGCGGAGTTTACCCAGGTGTTGTTCTAAGAAGTTGGACGGGTCTATTGGCTGCAGGTTCGGGAAGGATGGTGTTGGGCGGCAGTCTTTATAAAAAATATGTAAAGATCTGGCCAAGCAGCTGGATGGATAGTTTAAATTATTCTGTAAAAATTTAGGATCATGCCCTTCTTGCACAAGCCCTGGGATTCTAGTCGACGGTATGCGGTAGACTCGGAAACAAAGAGATTGACTTCGCGGTCAGGGGGATCGAACTCGGACGGTTCGCGATCATGATACTTTGATTCTAATAAGCAAGAAGCTAGTATAAGTTCCAGATGAACCATCCTAGCCTTCTCCTCCGCGGCCAATGCACCCCGAAACCGCAGTCCGGTCCTGGATTGATGCTTATCTGACCTACCGCATTATACGTGCTCTTCGCTGCGGCTTCTCACTTAATAATTGTTGCAGGTTTATTCTCTACGAATCATATACAGTTGAATTCTCCAAGTCAGCACATACGACCACAGGGTGTGGAAAACAGGGCTTCCCGTCCGCTCAGCCGTACTTAAGCCACACGCCGGGAGGTTAGTAGTTGGGTGGGTGACCACCAGCGAATCCCTTCTGTTGTATGTTTTTGCTTTGAGTAGTGCTCTCGATGAAATCCGTGGAGCCATGCAGCTACTAGAAATCATATTCTTTTTCGTTCTGCGATCGAATCCGAATGTATACCGAACTCTCGGGTGTATCTTAACTTAGATCATCCGTTCTGAAGTCGCCACGGCATCTGCCTGTTTTCCCGATCATCGCGAAGATTCATAGAACAGACATTGGAATAGACACATCTTCCGTCATTCTGCGGGGCTAGTTAATCGTTTTTTGGTCTTGACACAACGCTAAATTCATTCTTGAATAAGTATTCAGTTCTGTTTTCGGGAAGGCCTATCAGATCCAGTTGATCACTTACTTGATCTAGATAAACATCCCTTTTCTCTCTCTTGTTTCAGACGGTGTTTTCCCTCAGAGTGGAAATGTATATCCGTGAGCTGTGGGGGCCGCCGGTCCGCTGAAACCTGCAGGTGATATGTTTGAGTCAAACCTGAAAGACCTTATCCACCACGCAAGTGATATCCGCTCCAGCCGCAGACGACCCACCGATCTCAGTGCCCGAGCTGAAGTCCCCAGCCGCACTTATCCTTCTGGCTCCGGACGACCAATTAGAGGATAAATAGCAGGCAAGACCCCACGTGGCAAGCGCAGATCTGGCGTCAGTACAGGAAGAAAAGGAAGAACATCAGGTCGTCGAATATACTATAGCTGGTCAGCTAGTGCACAGTCGCCACAAAGCAAAATATTCTTCACCGACAATCCAAACATACCTCCAACATACCCCAATATAGTCAAATGGTCAGCCATTCGCCGCTTGCTCCGCTCTGACTGTAGCTACTAAACGATTCTTCTGCGCCTTCCATATTTGTGCTGTGGGTTTCAAACTTGCAACCATGGCCTCCTGTATGATCTTTTACTATTGGGTCAGAAACTAGACTGATGCTTACCTGCGAGATAGACAATCCCAGCCAAATCATCATTGTTGAAGTCGGGTATGCTACGTCCCTCTTACATATCACCGCTGTTCTGCAATCTTGATAGAGAAAATAATATTAACTCGGACACAGAAGACGTAGAACCTACGCCGGATTTGCCAGTGATGATGCTCCTCATGTGATACGTACGTATCCTTCCTTGAAATCTTAATCTTCCATGCTATTGGCACTAACCCAAGCCTCAATACATAGTGAACGAAGACTGCGGACTGTAACTACCCCCTATCCCAGCCTGAATCGGCAAAGAGCTACCCCCCTAGAAAGGAAGACGAAGATTCCAACTGAAACAACACCAATCAACTCCAGACCCCCCATCTTCGAACTCTGGCCGGAAGGCCTGGCCGCGATCCTCCAACGCGTCTACGAAGCCCTGCAGGTTGCACCGGCGCACCACCCCATCCTGCTCGCGATCTCGCCCACAACAGCCAGCTTTCACGCCCAAGCCGACCTGGCGCAGATGATGTTCCAGCGCTTCCACATCCCTGCACTGGAATTCGTACCGGACGCGTTACTGCTCGCGCGGGCCGCGAATCGAACGACCGCCGCCGTCGTCAACTTTGAGACTTCGTCACCCTACCTTGTCGCCGTGGTTGAGGGCGTGGTCGCAGGATCGTCGAGTTCGGTGCCGTCCTTTCTGACGAAGGCCAGGAATGATGTGCTCCTCAATGGCGCTTTTGAGCTGGATGTTAAACGTACCTTGCTTGGCAATATCGTTGTGGTATGTTCACCGAGATGGATTTCTGGCCACCTCACTCATCGCTAACTTGACTTTCTAGCCCGAAAACATGAGGTATCCGGAAGAGTTAGTTGGTCTAAGGCAGGATATGACTGCTGGGATGAGTAGAGACGCGGTGGAGGAGGTTCGGTTTGTTGAGCCTGAGATTGGCGAGATCTCCGTCTGGCGAGGCGCGATCCTCATGGCGGCTATCTGTAGCCGTGAGAATTGTTGGGTGGTGAAGGAGGACTTTGAGGAAAAGATGCGCATGGATGGGATGAATGCTGTATCTCTAATCTTTTCAGAAAGGGGCTATATAGTCGACAGTGCTAGGTAGCTTGTCATCCGTCTTCCCTTCTTTTTTCCCCCCCTATCCTTTTTCTCCGAACTGCAATGATCGATGTTTCTTACTTGACACTTCCAACTTCAGAGCCAGTTGATAGACGAACTTCCGTCCAGATCCAAGAGCAACTGCAAACATCGCAGCAGTGGCCTACCTTCACTCAAATACCCAGAGGTAGATGGCCGGGATGCATGGGCCAAGCTCTACGAGCGTGCCTACACTCAAAACCTTCCACTAAATCATGTACCTTGACGTCTAGTATCAAGGCAAATGGTGCCACTGTATCAAAAAAGACTTCATCGATCAATGGCTGCTTCACTTTGGTCAGAGGAAAAGAATAGATATCAGAAAGATTAACGGAACAGGTAAAAGGAAGGAGAGAAATTCCAGAGTGCTGGTTATTGCGTTGAAACATTGTATATCATGGGAAGGCACTGAATTTATAGGCCAATTTCATTGGCAACTATATCTAGTAGATGCAAGGTATAGACTGTTATCTCGGAAACGTGACTTATTTTCGACCAGGCAACAAAGTACCCGCCGCCCTTGATTGATACAGCTGAGGGTGACCCCATTTACTTGAGAGCCCCTGCTAGATGTAATGACTGTGGCTATACTACAAGAAAATATGCCGCGGTTGGCTTCACTAAAGTATAAGATCAGACGAGTTCTATCTGGGGCATAGTGGCCATATGAAGTGACCACTACCATACATTGCTCTCCCTGGGTATTTTTCGAGTCGCAGTGAGATCAGTCCTGACACCATGATCTGTATGGGATGAAATCGACTGGGGGAAGTAGACCTGTACTGTACGGCCGAGCCGGCTGAGCCCGGAGGTTGGTTGTAATGCAAACAGACACCACCTCGGTTCCATGAGAGAGCACTGTACTCAGAAGGTGGGTTAGAGAGAACAATCCACATTTTTCCACATTTGCCAACTGGCTGCAGTGGGCTTCCGTTTTTTACTGTTCCGTACTACGATACTCGCAAGTGATATCCGCTCCAACCGCAGACGACCCACCAATCTCAGCACCCGACCCGAACCTCTCAGCCGCACTCATTCTTCTAATTTCTGGTATCCAATGAAAAGACCAGGAGCAGGTCGTAGTGAGCGACGATCAACCGCCACAACAACAGCTGAAAAAGCAAAACCACCAGCTGGAATGATATCAATGGTCAGGGGGTGCATAGTCGCCAAAGTACCAGAACATTATTTACTGACAATCCCAACAGCCCCACCCAGCCAGGCACATATAAGGGCCAGTCGCTACCTTCTCCGCGCAGTTTCTGTTCGATATCTTCTGTGTCTCTTTTTTCTATACTATTTGTACCGTATTTCGGAACTCGGACTCGCAGCCATGGACCCTTGTATGCTTTCCCGCCATACAAACCTCCTATCAGAACCCCTACTGATCTGTTTCGGGGTTTAGATAATGTTCAGCCGATCATCGTCGACATCCAGTATGCTACTTCCTCCTCATGTATTGTCGTTTTGCAAACAATATCAAGAAGGCTCATTGGAATATGCACAGACGACATGAAATCAAGGCTGGATTTGCCAGCGACGATGCCCCTTGCGTGATCCGTAAGTTTGCGTGGACTCTCGACCGTGGGTGCTATTGGACTATCCCGCAATCCACAGAGAGGAGCGACTGTGGGCTGTGATTACCTCCTGTTTCCTTTCGACTGAACGAGAAGCGAAGCGAGAACTCAGCTAAGAAAAATGTCATACCATCCAGACTCTCAGAACCCGGAATCGAGCTGGAGAGCATAGCTACAGTTTTCCAGCACATCTATGCCAAGCTGCAGGTCGCCCCGGAAGACCACCCCGTCCTGCTTGCGATCGCGACCGGGACCAGCCCGCGGGGCCAGGTTGAGATCGCGCAGATAATGTTCCAGAATTTCAACATCCCCGCGCTTGAATTGGTGCCTGATGCGATATTGCTCGCGTACGCAGCGGGTCGAACGACGGGGGCAGTCGTCAACTCCGAGACTCCTGCGGGCCTTGTTACTGCTGTTGTTGATGGGGTGTGCGTGGCATGTTCGACTGAGAGAGTCAATTTGTCGGATGCTAGAAATCAGGCTATCTTCCGCCCCTCGTTCCCAGGGGATACTGTGCAGACCTTGTTGGGCAATGTGATCGTGGTATGTATACCTCTGCTTACAACCCCCCCCTCCTTTTCTCTTGACTTCAACGCCCCCCTCCCCTCCAATGAATCAACATGCTTTCTGTTCAACCTCACTCACGCTTGACCTCTAGCCCGATATCATGAAAGAGTATCGGGGTCTAGCCACTATCAAGAAGGAATTCTCCCAGTCGCTCAGCTTCGAAGCGCGTGCAGACACCAGGTTCGTCGAGCCTGCGAATGGTGAAATCTCGGTCTGGAGAGGCAGTGTCATCCTGGCTGGTATTTGTACCGGTGAGAACCGTTGGGTGTGGAGGGAGGAATGGGAGAAAGCGATGCAGGATAGTACGGGGAATACCACCGAAGGCATCTTTTGGAACAAAGGCTATATGTCATGGAACTAGTAGAGGCGTGGCGCGCTGCTCCTCTAGCCTCTCTTGAGAACCATCATGGATGATAATCTATGCCCACAATTGCTGGCAACCTCGACACTGGTGATCACTTGGGCAGACCCGGCTCAGCGAAAGAGGGACCCGCAGATCTCGCTTGGCCCAGCCGATCCCATCCTCTTGAATCCAATAAGATCACTGAGTTGAGTTACCCACCTAGCTAACAGTACGTAAACAGCGATGTTCTTCTGCAGTGGAGATATCCCTAAACGAGATGATCTTATTGGCCAGATTTCATGAACCCATCTATCCGACAGCTTCAAGCCCCCCACAGCCAGAACAACGACAACAAGCGCAACTTCTCTGAGTGGCCTTGACCGTCTTCTATCAAAGTTAAACTAATCGCCCCGCAACCAACAAAGATGAACCTCTTCTCCTAAGAAAAATCCTACCGTAATTCAGTTCCGTCTCTGACTGGGAACACTGCAGCGGTGGTATACGTCTCCTCAAATGCCCTGGGGGAGATGGCCGGGACGCATCGGCCAAAACCCTCGAGCAAACCGTTTCCTCTGGACGCCTCTAACTGGCTAACAGAAAAAGTGCACCATGAAATTTTCAGGATTCGAACTGCATAGTTCGGCAATCTTTATTGCTCTCAAGAAATAACCCAAACATGCTGAGTCCGGTACCCAGATATTGCATAATCCGTCGCCGCAATCCATTGACTTGTATCTCGTCGAGAAAACGAACCCCGAAGTAAGGGCAAGCCATAGAACTGTTACAGCCAACGAAGTTACTGCACGTATACCCCACGCTCTTGTATTCATATCTTTCTTCATCCTACGACTCGTTGAGGTGTACACTGGATCTACGGAGGGCAGTTCTAATAACATGATCTACAAGACATGAGATCAAGTGGTGAGTGGGGAGCTGAGAGTGACGTAGACTACGGAGTACTCAGGAAAAGTCACTGCATGGGTGGGGTGTGATCGGCAGTACAGTACCATGCCCGCGGGCTTGTATAGTTCAACAAACGGGGCCATCTCTCTCAGCCACTCACACAGCTAGCAACTCAGCTGGCAGCTGCCGATTTGTTGACCTGCCAGTCGGAAAGACCTACATGCATGTTGTTTCTGTGGATGGGAGAGATCTCCTCGGGACAGAGCTGTCGTCCCAAGCGGAACCAAGGCCCCACTCATGACGACAAGGCTTGCTGTTGGTTCAACCTTCCTTCCCCACGAACAGTCAACTACGAGTATGAGTTCGCGCCATTGGCAGGTACTCGCGAGTACCAGCCGCCCCGGCTGCTACGAGCTGAACATGATCAACACCACAGGCGCCGATCACGAACCGCTCCCCGCACATCCTTACCAGATCTTCGCCCTCGCCAAGAGCGCTGACGTTCATCCACTGCAGATACATACTCTGCGTATGCCCCGGAGTCTAACATAGTGGGGTAGGATGGAGTGATAAATATCTCTCACCCATCTCCGCTATCTCGCTTGCAGCAGACTCCCTTTCCATCAAAGCATCCATTCCGAGCCATCCCATTCCAAGTTATCGATACCTGTTCCTCACCTTACTCTCACTTACTCCCCTGCAAAAAATACACCCCTCTCATCCTAAACACAATCCATCGAAAATGACGCAACTCAATGAAAACGACAAGATGGAACTCCAAGTCGCCCTCGGTCCGCTGGGCACCGGCATCTACTACATCTGCAAGTCACGCCCCCCCCCCTCCCCCTCCCCCTAGCCCGAACTCCACCACCCCTTTCCAATACTCTTTCATGAAATCCCCACTCCCCAATCCCAACTAACCCCAATGGCGAAAGGGAACGCCTTCGCCCCCTCCGCAGCCTCATGGCACCGCACGGGCCGAGAGACCGCCGGCCCCGCGCTGTCGAACTGGTGCCTGGCGTACAACCAGTCCGACGATCTGGTCTGGCTGAACACGCAGGGCTACCACGAGGGGTACTTCGTGGTGAACAGCGCGCCGGGCGGGGCGCATTTCGTGTGGGCCGAATTCGCCGTCAAGGCGCGGGACCACGAGGCCCGGTACATGGTGCTGGAGCGCGGGGTGATCCCGAGCATGGGGGGCCAGGCGGCGTGCACGCACGCGGACATGGTGGAGTTGGCGCGGCGGTGGGATGGGTACGAGGTCACTGGGGACGAGAAGGAGTACTTTCTGGGGTGCATCCGGGCGGCGACGCAAAAGCGCGATGAGATGGCGGCTTGAGTTTAGTGACACATCAATGAATTGAACATTGATGACATGACTTTGATTGGGCATCTGAGGGCGGGATATGTAGCTGTAAAGGGAGATTGGTAGAATTCATCTTGCTAACTACTGAACCGAAGTAAGAACATTACAATGCATTTAGGGAGGCCATGAGGCGTGGTTCGTTCTCACTACTTTTGAAGTATTCACCATAAGACTAGGACTCTTTCCGATAATGTAAATATTGGAGACAGGGAAAAGTGATGAATTCAGCTATGTGAGGCTATCTGAGCAGAGCTATCAACATGCCTCCTGGTGGTTAGTGAGCGGACTGGCTATATCAAGGCCTCAGGAGGCCGGCACATACTTTTGGACTTTGTGGGGCGATGGAAAACACATATCAATCGACACTATGGTGCCTGTAGCACCGATTCGAGGACAACAAAAGAACAAACAACAAGACATGAAAGTAAACACCGACACCGACACAGACACAAACACATCCCCACATCCCCGTAGGGCGAAGAGGATGGGCCCTTTTTGGCCCACGAAGGAAGAGGTTGTTTCATGACGGCCCAAAGGCCGACCCGCGCGTGCTGCAGCTTATGCAGGAGGTTGTAACGCGAGTCGCTTTTGCAAGTGCTTCATTTTGGGAGTATTCGAGACGGAGTCTGGTAGTTCCTCGTATACAACGACGGTCGGCTGTGGCACTAGGCACGCAGGGCTAGAATACGTACTAGAAGCAAGACCATAACAAAGTTGTAATGGGCCTTGAAAGAATCCGACAAGGGGGAAAGTGTTGAACGAATACACAGATTGATACCAATCAAAATGACACTTGGAAACAAAACAAGCAGGCTCCCAAAGAGATCCTGAATAATAATTCGAAACATTGGCCTCGGCAGATATTGAAAAGTAGAAGAGAAGTCGAATTGGATGTTCGAAGATAGGAGTCTGGCGAGAGAAGAACAAGGAGGTCTTGGGGAGAAGATCAGGATAAAAGGTTTGGAGATTGAGCATTCGGTCTGCCAATGGATGGAATGTCCTAAATCATGACTTTGGGCGGTAAATTCACCTACCTGCACTGCATTAGTAATGAATTCACCTAGGGGCATTCTGGTTAAGGAAGGGTCCTTTATACTGCAGGAAGGGAATAGGTCGTATTGAGTGAATCTAGCAAGGCCAGCAATGGGCTCTTGCCCTCCATCTCGCGCACTCTGTTAGTGAATATGGACCACCCTGTTGAGGTAGCTGTATACCAGCCCTTACAATCAGCATAGCGTCTTATCTCACTAGCTTTGGAAATTGATGATCTAGGCGTAAGGGGTAGAAGAGGAACAAGATCGGATATTAAATTTAAGAACAAGGCTATTCGGCACGGGGAATCCCTCCTTGAGCACGCTAAAGATTTGCCTGGTTGTGGCTGTCAAGATAGTCGCTAGCTCTACAAGCCACAGTCCGCGGAGGAAAGCAATGAGACTATTTAGACAACCAGAGGACCCGGTTCCAAAGCCTGCATCGCATTGCTAGGCGAACAGAAGGCGTAGTCTACCTCGTAAGACAGGACACACTTGCTATGGTGCGGGTGCTGGCTAGACCCGCACCTCGGACCGGTAGCATCGACACAGAACCTGAAATTGATATAAATCCAGAGCGACCCTTCTACCCAATCGTGTACACTGAACGGAAAAATAGTTGGGCCGTCTTGTGGATGACGGTGTATGTACATGTACCCCGCCTCCGGTCGGGTTCCCGATGTTCTAGAAGGAAGCTCACTCCACCCACTTCCCGTGGTAACCAACCACCTTAGGTACGGTCACTACCCCCCCGGATCCTTCCCCACAACACTCAACTCCATCCAATAATCAACATCAACAGGTGAGATCCATGCTACGTCCCGCAGAGCTGGAAGATCATATCTAATCCATGATGTGTGTTCCACTTACTTACCTAGAACTTCAGTCCTCCACTTGCCGAAAAATCACGATGGGAGAAAACCCATCCCGCCGTCGCTGCTGGGACTGGATGGTGGTATCCGGCACGAACCACTACGCCAAGAACCGCGCCTCCTTCAAGTCGTACCGCCCGGTGAACCGCATGGTTTCGAATGGAACGCTGTTCATCGCAGGAGTCGGCACGGTGGAGCTCAGCGTGCGTGCCAGCCCGGCCAGAGGATCCCCAACCCGCACTCTAGTCTTGGACAACGTTCTGCACATTCCGAAGGCGATCTGCAATGGTTTCTGCTTCGGGCAGTACCATACGATCCATAAAGGGACAGTCAGCCTTGGCGTGGATTATTACCATGGACAGATGAACAGGGCGCTGAGCTTTGGTTCGGGCAGCCTTTCTGTGGGCTCGAGAAGCTGGCTCTCGCGGGGAATCCGCAGGGAGAATCTGATCTCAATGAGGATGACATCAACATGCTCAGCCTCTATATTGACAAGCAGGATCTCCAGAACATCTTGCCGTCAGGTAAGCTTCTTGCCTCTTTACCCCCTGTCTCCTCCCGGTTTACGCCACTGTTTCCCTGCCATGGACAGTTTGCTGGATTCAGGCTAACTTGAAGCTTCGCTCAGACGTCTAGAAACTCGAAGCAATGCTACTCCTACTATTTCAGTTTGTATTGACACAACCTACGAGCTACCGATCGAAGGCGCTATGATTAGCCATACAATACAGATCTTCCAATAAAATGAAGTACCAAAAATCAGAGAGTCACCGCTAGCCTCCCGTAATCATACATCCAGCACCTTCTACCTCACATTCATTGTAGCGACTAGTATATCTCCAAATTAATTCGACGAGGAGGCCGGTCTCGCTGGCTGCGGGATTGGCGACCGGGCACGCGACCGCGGTGGAGGCCAGGGCGAGGAGACCGGCGGGCTGTGGCGCTCACCTTGCGAAGCAATTTTGTCTTCAGAGAACTGAACCGCCGTTTCGCTCGCATCACCTGTGCGACTGTTGTCCGAAGGTAACTGTACACGGCCTCTCTCGTCCTGCCTCGTAGATTCCTGCTGAATCAAAAACATCCTGTCTTCTATCTTGCGCGCTTGTTATGCGCGCTTTGCTGACAGTATATGCCATTTGCAATAGACTTTTGACCCTGAATTTATGGTTATCCTATATTGATCTCACTCCTTTAGAAAATCTCCAGTTGGACCGCCAGTTCATTCGGGATACTCTATACGCGTGTCAGAAATGATAAATGGAGGAAGTTCTGGGTTGGAATCGAGGCGCGGCTACGCAGAAGCGAGAATTGGTAGCTAGCTTGGTTATCGCATTATACCGAGAAGTGATCGCGGTCGGTACCCATTGGCCTCCCACTATGAGACTATCCCAACATAAGAAACTGCTTGCTATATCTTGATAAAGCAGACTAATGGGGTTAGCCTGACACCCCAGCATAGGGTACGCAATGCGGAAGGGGTCTTGAAAGCGCTGTCCTGATTTATCAAATTCAGGATTTGAAGCTCGATTACACATTTCCATCCATTCCCGCCGGTGCAAAGCAAGACTCCTGTCCGCGCGTCTCGCGAAACAATGTTCTTCCCTGGTATTCCGTGCCTGTGCTGTGTGGGGTGTGTCCCCCATTTCGGGTCGGGAAGGGAACCGAGAGCCGGTCTGAGAAACTAGTGAATAGCGAATTATCTTCCTGCGGTGTCACGAATCATACCGCAGTGGTGCATGAGTTTGGTTATGCAGGCCAATACATATGTGGACTATGTGGATGCATGTGTACCGGTGATCGTGGAGAGATGGGCATCATATTGATCATGTGTATTAGCCCGCGCACAGTCACTGTGGCTCGGAGCGGGCTTTCATCCGCAGTAAACGATTATCCCAGGCCTGACCGGCGACGAAAAGTGATGAAGCCGAGGGTAAAGATAATCAAACCATCAAGGATTGCTCAAGGGAAATACTCCTTGGTGACTGCATTTACTAGTCCAACGGTTGACGTAGCCAGTGGACGGGGTGTCCATGGTTGCTTATTGGGATATAAAGTGCGAAGTATCAAGGGGCTTGAAACTGCAGCCGTTCATATCACCTCAAAAAAATGGGTTCAATTCTTGGAGTAGAAGAGTTCCGAAATGACGATGCTTTCGAGAAGGGACGGGATGTACTGTACATACTTAAGACGGCAAAAACTGGGTTCGAGGTTCAAGATCCTGTAGGCCCCAACAACTTCCCCAGAGCGCAAATAGCCTCTGGGATCCGCCTTTCCAGTTGAACCATTTTTCTGTCGAAGACCATTCACTAAGCGAAACACCGCGCGCTATATTACCTTTGAATTTTGTCTTGTCATGTGAGCGTGTGATAGAGGCCGGCATCAAGCATGTATGACTCGTTGTTCCAATCCCAGGTCCAAGCGAGAAGAAAGTAGATAAAGAAGCAAAAGGGCAATAAACTCTAAACTATTAAGCTTATCTTCCACTCTTCTTGCTATGGCATAAGCTCTTATGAGATCCCCCGATTAGGGTTCAGTGGATTCCAAGTCGCGCTTGTCTAAAACAGGCTTAGCCTGGCTAGACCTGAGTGGGGGCTTTCTGCAACTCGCAGCCACCATCCTGCCATACGTCACCTTGAAGAGCGACAAAAACAATGCCCATTGGATGCCTGATACCTGTTGAAGATCACCCTCATGTCAGAATTTTATCTTTGTCAATTGAAAAGATCTGTCGACGGGAGTTGATCCAGCGCCCAAACCAATAAGATCTCAGGATCACATGCGGAAATCCTGAAGCAAGCAAACAGACCCGAAGCGAGCGAATGGATGCACCGGATCAGGAAAAAGTAATATGTTCTCAACGTTTTGCAAACAACATCCCATGACCTCATCAAGGGTCACTAACGTGACTGCAAGGTCGAAGAGTTGGGGGGTGCTGGTATGACCTATAAGTCGGTGTTGTGATACTGCTCCACCAAAGCTTACATATCATGTTGACCAGTCACCCGCCGGGAGATACACAAGCCCTATATATACCGCGCTCCTTCTCGAACCCGTCGCTTTTCTAATCCCAACGTTTGCAGGTACACAAAACCTGGTTTTGAGTCAAAGTTTAACGCCATCATGCCCATCAAATCTTTAGACTTCCGGCTCTATTGCAGCGACAATGCGCAGGAGCGGCAACGATTCAGTGAGGACTTATGTGAGACGCTTTCGGTGTATGGGTTTGCCAAGATTCGACACTCGTCCCTCCCAAAGGAGATAATTGATCGGTTATTTGAATTTGTGAGTTTAAAGTCACATTGCAAAAATAAGGAACATGCCAGAGACGAGCAGGCTGACTTTGAACGAATCCGCTCAACGAAAGAATAAACGATTTTTCGACCTGCCCAACTCAAGTAAAGCCAAAGCGGCACACCCAGAAGCGCCGAATCCCCATCGTGGTTGGAGTGCGGTGGGAAAAGAGACGCTAAAGGGTACGAGAGACGATGAGCAGGGGAAGAAGCTGAACGATGGCTACCAGGAGTATCGGGTATGATTCCCTTCAATCAATGGAAATTCACCTTTTTACTAGCGCGATAAAACGTATTCTATGATGGTGGTCTCACATCAAACAGGAATCCTTCGACCAAGGCGCCGCCAGCGACACGCTCTTCCCCAACCGCTGGCCGGATGAAGCAGACCTCCCGGGCTTCCGCGCGTTCATGGAGGACGTCTACGACCGCTTCCACGAGCTGCACACCCACCTTCTGCGCGCCATCACAGCCGGCCTCGGCTTGTCGGTAGACGACCACTACCTCCTCAGCAAGCACCAGTGCAACACCAGCGAGCTGCGCCTGCTGCACTACCCGGCCATCCCGCGCCGCACGATGCGCGCCGGCGGCGGCATGCGCATCGGCGAGCACTCCGACTTCGGGACCCTGACGCTGCTCCTCCAGGATTCCGTGGGCGGGCTGCAAGTCGAGGATCAGCGCCACGGCCCGCTCGGAAAGTTTATACCGATTGAGTCCGAGGATGTCTACGAGGTGATCGTCAACGTGGGCGATTGTTTGCAGCGATGGACGAACAGGGCGCTGCGGTCGGCGAACCATCGCGTCACTTTGCCGGAGGCGAAGGGTGCCGCTGACGAGGACGATGAACATGCGATGCTGCCCCGACGGTACTCGGTGGCGTACTTCGGGAAACCTGATCGACATGTGCTGGTGGATACGCTGCCTGAGTTCGTGCGGCCTGGAGCCACGCCGGAGTACACGGATGGCTTGACGACGTTGGAGTATAATCAGCTCAAGCTGGCGCGCACCTATGGATGAGCGATTGGGAGGCGTGCTATGGGCGCTTGTGCTGTCTGGCTGGAGGGTGTTTGTTGAGACATGTTTTTAGTGGCATAATGCAAGTAATCAGCTATAAATGTTGGGGCGGACGGACGGTGCGGTGGTGACTCTGTTTTGCAGAGAGGACAGTGTTCAACAATGGGAAGTAGAAGAGGTGGCTTAGAGTGGATTCAAAACTGGGGATACAAGGTAAGTGTCATGACATGGACATTTATGATAGTTAAGCATCAATTCATCGAACGTATCAGTGTCCTAGAAGAGCTGTTAGTATGATATAGTCTCACCAGACAGGACGGCGGTTTAGTGTGATGAGCGGTTGCCCGAGCAACAGAGCTTACACCTAGACAGGCAAGGGTGTGACAATGTGTCAGGTGGTTTCCTGATCTCTCCTCTATCGTCTCTACTGCCAACTGAACATCCTAGGAATAGATCCCCCGAAGAGCCCAGCGTCGGAATGCATCATTGTTTGCGACTGCTCCCGAGTCGCATTCCCCTGGGACCCAGCTCCAAAGCCTCCTTCCGACTTTCACAAACCATAAGACTGTTCTCGATATATCAATCGTGTAGACTACTGTCGGACTCGAAATTACCGGAGTTATTCATCGAAAGGGCGAATGGAATACGTACCTCTCCTCAAGAAAAGAAGACAAGTTTCTTATATCTGGTTTGCTGACATAGGTGATTTAGATGAGAGGATCCCCCAAGATGATTTGTATCGATATACCAGACACAGATGGCTGTACGAGATGCAATACCCGCCTCATCTTGCAGTTCCTACTGACCACTGCAATATTCCAGTTTCGATGAACCGCGCGAGCTCTCTAAGCGATATCTGAAATTCAACCTGCGGCAGCTCCTTGACGTGGCCGTGAATGTCAGCAATGGCGCTCGATACTGTCAGTTCTGCTACACACGCAATCGTGGTGAAAGAAAGCTTATTCGTCATTTTGTCCAGGCACAAAGGTTGTCAAATGCTTAGAGGGCCTCCATAACAAGGCATTTCTACTAACGATGGATAATGGAGTTGAAGTCGTTGCCAAGCTCCCGAACCCTAACGCCGGACCTGCCCGATACATCACCACCTCAGAGGTAGCCACACGCCCGCTAGTAAGATACGCATATCCTGTATTTCTCTGGCAGAAATGGCTAAAACTTACAGTTACGTGATCACTTCAACATACCAACTCCCCGGATCCTCGCCTGGTCTTGCGATGTAGCTAACTCTCCTGTTGAGGCAGAGTATATCCTCGAGGAGAAGACCGCTGGTGTGCGATTGGGTTCTCTCTGGAATCAATGGCCACGTGAGACGAAGCTCAAGTTGGTTGAGCAAGTCGTTGATATGGAGAATAAGCTGACTAGCACGACCTTCTCTAAACACGGTTGTATCTATTTGAAGGAGGATCACCGTTCACTAACTGGACAGGCGGAAGACCTGAACGATGACTCAAGTGCCGACGAAGTGCTAAAGCGCTTTACAATAGGTCCCCTCACTTCGCCCGAGCTATGGACTGGAACTAGAAGTGACATGGAATTAGACCGTGGCCCGTGTCAGTGGAACAACCTCTACCACTCTGTAGAACATTCGCTAACCGTTGTGCGAACAGGGAATAATCCATCTGAGTACACACAAGCATTGGGCCGCAACGAGATCTCATGGGTGAAAGCGCATGCACGCCCGCGGATGAATTACTATCGATCTGCATCGGATCCTGAGCTCCCGGAGGACGGCCTTCACCTCCTCAGACAGTACATGAAAGTCGCTCCGTTCCTGGTCCCTTCTTCCAACGATGAGGCCGCCAGCTCGAACGTCCTCTGGCACCCCGATCTTCATCTGGACAATGTGTTCGTTGACCCGCTCACACACACCATCACCGATATCATTGACTGGCAGTCCGCATGCGTGGCTCCTCTGTTTTACCAGTCTCACGTCCCGAGGATGTTCCGACACCCCGGGCCTGTCCAAGAAGGCTGGGCTGTCCCCGAACGCCCTGACAACTTTGATACTCTCAGTGCGGAGGACCAGGAGAACATCACCAATGACCATGAGAGCCAGATCATCCACAAATACTACGAGGCGCTGGTTTACAAGCGCGCCCCGCGGCACTGGGCTGTCCTTGAGCAGAAAACGATTCCGATCGTCCGAAAACCTGCTTGGCTGGTGACTGGAGTGTGGGAGAATCGCGACCTTTTCTTTTTGCGCCAGTCACTCCTTTCGCTGGTCAACCTCTGGGAGGATCTTTTCCAGTTACCCTGTCCGATAGCATTCACACAAAAAGAGATTGAGCTTCATGCGGAGGAGGAAACTAATATAGACAGCATTGGACAGGTGCTTACCTTGTTCCGGGATCAAGGGGTGCTTCCCGTCGATGGCATGGTCGACCCCAAGGATTATGGTGTCGCTGTGGAGAATAGTCGCAAGATCAAGCAAGTCTTTCTGGGAACTGCTGAAAACGACAAGGAGAGGGAGTTGTACTCCAAGCTTTGGCCTTATCAAGACACCGAAGACTCAGTGGTCTAATGCTTAGCAGGGATGGAGGGATGATCTCAAAGCTGTAGGATATTAGCGACAGAATAAGGCTAGGAAGTACGGCTCCTTCCGTCTTAAATTGGGTTGTTCTTCAGCAGTTCTTACGTATATAACTGGACAATCGGTCAGTGACCGTTGACCGACACAAATAACTTTGTCCTGCATCCGAGATTTCCACCTAGAACTATTGTCATACAGATTCTTGATAAGGTTCGCTGAAGATATGAGAATGAACAAGGCAGTGCCAAGAAACTGACCTGCATCTCATTCAGCTGCCCAAGGCTCGGGTCTTGACACAACCTACCATGCTGGCAGCATGTCAGTTCGAACATAACCAGGCAGCAGAATGCAGGAGGAGAAAGCGGCATCAGCTTTGTCAGTGCGGAGCCCTTGTCCTTGGCTGTGCAGCACAACAATCAGGTCAAGCGCTTGATCCGCTTCAACTCGCGCTATACGCAGAACGTGCCGGGAGATGAGAATTTGTTGGAGATGGCTGCCAGAGAGTTGAATGGTTGTGAATGAGTGTCTTTTGAACATCATGATACGGCAATGGGGATGTGTTATTTGCCCTGCATTCGCCACCCCCAGCATTCTCTCTGTAGCGGGAATGCGGGCAGGCTGCTTAGGCAATGCACCAAGCTTCTGCAAGGTCATCAATAGAATGAGAGGGTTATATAGCTCATAGTGTAGGCGGAGTTCAGCATACTCAACCTAATGCATACGATAATAAGGCCTCCATGGATTTAACTATACATATGTTCTACACTAGAGGACTAGCTAATTACGCTGAATGAAATTATATTCATTCCAAGCTTGGTCAACAGGTGTTACGTGATCTCTGAGAACATATGTTATCCAGCTATCGACATGAATTGGAAAATTATTTACTGATTTTTCCCTTGGAGCTTCAACACACGTAGCCATTGAAAAATTGGGGTCCAGTGGGCCCAAGGTGACCGAATCAGTGAGAAGTGATCGATAGAAAACAAATATGTTGCCGTGGGTACGGCAGTTGTTGTTGATAATCCGGCCGGATCGAGGTGGCTTCCCGCTCCGCTTCTACGGAAAGCGAATAGGCCCGAGATTTGACATTATCCGACAGCGCGCAGAGGATCTACCTTATCCCCAACTCATATCACTCGAGCGGAAGCTGGCGTGTGCAGCTGGCAGCGTGAAGCCCTGCTCCTGCAGCAAGATACCTCTCGATCCAAGGTCTATGGTAATCGCTCCTCCTTGCGCTGAGGGCGAAACCGGAGGCTAATGAAACACCATCAGCTAGATACACAAAGCTCACGATGTACGCAGCTTGTGCTCAGAGGTGAAAAGGCCGCGCTAATTCTCCAAGGTGTCACATTTACCGTCTCATGTACGCGTGCGGGTGTCGGATCAAAGACCCTTACAATTTCCACCAGTGTGTCGAACGTCAGGGGACCAATGCCAAGTGCGACCCGATAAAGGTCCTCGAGCTCGAGAAAGACCATTACTGCGCCAAGCACTTGGTGGGCAGAGGGGGGGTGATTATGGCTTTTTCTCGGAGACGGCGGCCGTCGTCGGAGGATAACGAGGACCACGAGGAGATGGAAGAGGAAGAGGAAGAGGATGACGATGACGATGCGGAGGAGGAGGAGGAGGAGGAGGAAGAAAAAGAAGACGAAAAGAAAACGGAAGAAGAATAAGGACAGGCATAAGGCAAGTGAGGATGAGGATTGTGTTCGTGGCTCAGATGACGAGTTCGCCCATTGAGAATCAGAATGATTCTTTTCATATATAGATAAACAGTCAATTCGTTGCACGAGCGACCTACAGTAAGGTAGTCGTACAGTCCATACCCCGCCAGTGCCGGGGTTGTCGCCCGCACGGCCATCAGGGCCGAGAGACCCCGCGTATGAGCTCACTCGGCTCTCATTGCATTATCACATATTCAGATCTTATATTAGCACGAGTCCCTCGAGCATGGAAACACCACTATTCTGCCTATACCTGCTCCAAAATGTCATCTGGGTTGGCCTATCGCCTGGAGGAGCCCGGCTGGAACGTCCTCAACCTTTCTTCGGTCCCAAGGGCTCCTTTCCGACGCGCAGTGAAACGTTATCGAAAAGAAGCCCTAGAGCATGAACGATCCCAAAGGCAAGAGCAGCCATGCTACCAGCCGCGTGCTTCATCATCTCTCCGGAAGCAGCAACAGCAACAGCAACAGCAACAGCAACAGCAACAGCAACAGCAACAGCAACAGCAACAGCAACAGCAACAGCAACAGCAACAGCAACAGCAACAGCGACACTCATCATGGATCCTCCTACCGCTCGAGATCATCCGCATGATCTTCCTCGACCTAGACATGCTGACTCTCAGCCACCTTCGGTCTGTCAACAAGACCACCAAACAGATAATCGACTCCCTGCCAGAATACCACCTCCTCCACACTCACGCAGCCGACGCCCTACGACTGCTGGATCTCACCCAGTGCACCCACCATTTTTCCCTGGGACAGCTCTACCGGGAACTTCGTCACCCGCAGTGCCGCACCTGCGGCGACTTCGGCCCCTTCCTCTTCATCCCAACCTGCACGCGCTCGTGCTTCGCCTGTAATCGCACCCACAGTCAGTACCGCATGGCACCGATCAAGGTCGTGTTTAGTTGGTATGGTCTCTCGCTCGACAACGATTGGCACCGTGTTCCGGTCGTCCATACCCTTGATTGCACCCGGTGGACCCAACATGAGAGGATGCTGGTCAGCATTGCCCAGGCCAAAGCCCTGCACCTGCAGCTGGCAGCCCCGCCGGCGCGACGCTCGCGCACCGGCGAAAGGCGCAACAGTAGCAACACCTGCACACCGTCCCCGACGCGATACTCGGAGTACTGGGGCTCTCGATGGCGGCTTTCGGCGACGGTGGCATTCCCATACTACGACCCGGTCGCTCGGTCGGTCGAGACCGGGGTCTATTGTTTGGGGTGTGTCAAGTACTGGGAGAATCCGAAGCCGACGACGCAGAAGGACTCCGTGTCCGGCATCCCAACAACGTGGGAGGACTACAACGAAGCATGGGGGACGACTCTCACTCCCGGGAGCAGGGATCTCGATCGGGCGTTCTTGGTGCAGGATATGCCGGCGCACTTCCGCAACTGTCCGGATGTCTCGCGGAGCCGGAGGCGCGGGAAGACTGCGTGGAGGTTTGGGAAGCCCGTCGGCACGACCTTTCGCGTGAGTGCTGAGGGTGGGGTGGTTCTGAGAAGGTCGGAGCGATTGAAGAAGAAGTGGGAGGGGGTTCTTTTCATGTTAAACACACCGGGTTGGTAGATTTTCGCAGTCGGTTGCACGGTTTTCTCCAATTAGCCTTATCGTCCTCCTCTCTCTCCAATGATTATATTGGCCTGAGTAGAGCTTCTCGTGTAGCCCAATAATCCGCCCGTGGTCCAACCGGGATAATGCCTACCAGAGATATGGCTGATCAAGGTTCGGGATGGCGGGTGCATGGCGTGGTTACACTGGTATGCTTCACATGTTCTAGAAGGGACTGGAGAGGTAGTATACCGAGCAGGAAAACGTCTGACCCGCAGCAAAGCCGTCGCCGGGGTGCTTTTGGGAGTACAAGCTGATAAGCAAGCGACTGAAATATGGGAATTGGTCCTTAGACTTGGCCCCGAGCCTGCCAGGTGCTTGTACCAGCTTCCATATTTGGGGTGCACCTATCAAAGACCTGGATCTCACTAGTCACTATCCGCCCATGAGCTTGCCCTTCCAAACTAAGTAAACCAGAACAAAGGATGTATAATAATAGTCAGTGAGGACTGATAGACGCCTCCTCACTTTATTCAAGTGTTTCTAACCGTACGTTAATCATGTTCACCCTCCCTACTACAGTCTAGTATCTCATATGTGAGATATCTTGCTATAACCGAAAATCATACAAATGCCCTAATCCGCTCGCTCGGTCTTCTCCTCTACAGCGCCTTCGGGAAATCAGTAGTACATACAAGTCCATCCCTTCATATAACGGCCCCCGCCAACCCGGCCCTACCGATGACGACCTCCCAGTCTTCCTCCTTCGCGTCACAGCAGAGTCGCATCGCATATGACATCCCCATGACGCCCACCCTTTGGCCGAATGCAAAGCAAGAAAAAGAGAATGCCGCGACTGGGACTCGAACCCAGAATCTGCACTCCACACCGCTAGCATAAGGCTAGTACGGGGGCTCTGCAATGTTAATACCACTACACCGCCGCGGCTGTTGTTGTACAGTAGCACTCGACACTAAATTCTAGCCCCACTTTTCTGAACGCCTGAGGCACTCTTTCAGCCCTGTACCAGCCCTGTGAATGCCTTTCCCTTCCAAATTTTGTTCATAGGTATTTTCAATCATTTACAGAGTATTCTAGTTGGGATTTGAAATATACTAGCAGAGTTGCGGTGGTAATGCACGGCATTATTCCAGCCGGCAGATGAACTCCTAACTACGGGCAACGCTAATACGTACTGGCCAAGATCTTCAACCCCGACCAGAGCCCACAATTATCGCACGCTAACCTACAAAAACTATCGCCCTGTCCATTCAACACCAAAATGAGGCTTGAGGCTAATTTCCACTCCCACGCACAGCCTTATCGTTAACCGGATCCGGCACAAACCCCTGAGCGCGCTGGGGCCGGGGGGTGGAGCCAAGCGGTTCGCTCCGACTCGCGCTTCGGCCTCGTGCTCGCCATGATTCGTTGGTACTCAGTAGTCACTCTGCCGAGGGCCTTGGTGGCTTGAAAGATGACTTCTGAATACAATACTTAAGTCTCCGAATTCCCCTTTATATTTTGATCCTCTTGTCGAGCGTCAGCAATCCACTCACTCGTTATTTGTCGCGGACCCGCTGCTTACACTCTTTTCAACCGTCACTCATTACCACTAGACCATTAGACACCATGAAACTCGGACTCACCCTCCTCGCCGCCCTCGCGGGTCTCACCGTCGCCGAGGAGATCGTCTCCATGCTCCTGTGGGCCGTCGATCGTGATCAAGACTACGAGGCGTCGATCGTGGGCAATGTAAGCCATCTCACCCCGCCTGAGCACCTACTAAGAGCACTTAACAAGAAAACCCCACACACCCTCAAAAATGAAAAAGAAAAAAGCAAAAAAAAAAAAAAAAAAAAAAAAAAAAAAAACGACGAAGAAACGCTGACCAGAAATATCCACAGGACGCAACCGCAACAACCTACAGCCTCGCCTGCCCCACCTCGGTGCGTGGGTCGGCCTGCTCCATCGGCCAGGCGGGGATCACCGCGGAGATCGTGGACCAGAGCACCTATGCGTGGTGGCGTCGGCAATAGTAAGGAATACCACACTCGGCTCCTTTTACCATTACAAGCTTGTTTTAAATAGATTGTTCAAATTTGAATTCTTAAACCATGCTGACATAATCCCTCAATTCTAGCTCCACTACCTGGGCGTGTACCGCAGATGGCACGACGGAGGGCGTCTGCCACCGCACGCTGAGCGGCGAAGACCAGGGGATCGATATCTACTTCACCAACTTCCTGGCGGCTACCGTTACCGGTGGGGCTGTTACCGGTGGGGGTGGGGGTTCGGAGACAGCGAGCGCGACGGGCACTACCTCGGCGCATGCGAGCCTGGCAACGGAGACGGCGAGCGCGTCCCAGGAATCGTCCAGTTCCACTATCACGGCGGGTCCTACGGCTACTGCCAGTGCCGCTCAGGAGGACGGTAATGCCACGGTGACCGGGACTTCAACTGGGGGCGTTCCGCGAAGGACTGGGGCGGCGGGGTTGGTCTTTGGGGGCGCGGCGGTTGCGCTGTTGGGGGCTGTTCTGTGAGAACAAAACTCTGCAATATTTACCTGGCTACCTATGGGGAATTACTACAGATTAAAGACACTGATCTAGATGGAAAGTAGATCAAGAATTTTCCAGTACGTGTAAAGGTAGTGGCTGCATTGAATTGACAAATTTGACAAAGATACTCCAACCCATCGACGACATGATAGCATTGTAGTGGGAGCCATTGAGGTGTTCCCTAACCACCGTAGTCTGCTAGCTAACCACTGCAACATGACAGAATCCCACACCTAGAGAGCTCACTCGTCCTCGAGTGCGCTGAAAGACAATGCAGAATAGCAGCAGCACGGCAAGAGCGTAAGACAAATAACGAGATTTAGAACTTTATAAGCATAGGCAAGCCCCGCCTTAGGAGCAACGGGTCGAAAATCCTCAACCCTTGCCCCGCAGTAGCTGAAGGGCTGGGGGGCCCTTTTCGCCGTCCACGAGCATGTTACCAACGACATCACTTCTCTGTGCGTGCAGAATAATTCCCGCACTTGTTTCCCTCGGCCGGGTAAGAAAATAGAAGCAGAAGTGACAAAAGTCATGACGAGAGCAGAAACACCAGTACAGCAGGAATAAGAACAGGAACGTTCAGAAACCGACGGAAAGAAACAAAGAAATTCCTAATCCTGGAACATAAGAACCAAAGCTGGCCGACCGAGGCGCCACGCACCTTAACAAGACCATTGATGAGTCGAGATCTCAATTGTGTCTCCTCCGATGCCTGTCTCGTTCTTACCTCCATTTGTTCTATCATCCACACCAAAAGACTCCAGATCTTCTCCCCATCCCCCTCCTTCCAATGGAAGGTCTTTTTGGAATACTGGAACCTAGTCAGGCACTTGATTGCAGGTCAAATTGTACAGTCATATCTATATTGGTGGATTTAGCGGGATATTTATCTAGGCAGAAAGCCTAATAGGCAGGTACTCCCCTACTTTGCATTAATTTACTTAATTGTCTTTTAATAATGCAAAAACTACTTGTAGTCTAGATATTACTTTTCAGATTTAGAAATAGCAATGTATAACCTCTGTTTATAAAGGTTATATGTAATATTCCTATTTAATATATTCAGCTCAGCTATAAATACTTGTTCTTTACCTTAGTCCAGTATAATTTGCTTCAAAAATATATTACAAGCAACTTCTTAGAGCCTTATTTGACTTTATAATTAAGTTAACCAACTTCTACACCTTTATTACTATACTGTAACTAAAACAAATATACCCTAGATCTGCAAATCTATAGGTATATATAATATCCCCCTTTCCTCCCTAGCCAAAATATAATAATATTCTTCTCAACATTCGTCTTCAGATTAACTGCCGCAAAACATCAGCTACTCACCTTTAATATTTTGCAATATTAAAAGCTGGCCGATTCTGCCATCCACCACAAGGTATCCCAGATCTGGGCTCTTTGGCCCGCCTTCCACCTGTATGTGATTAAGCTAGATGGACCAGACAAGATAGTTCCCTAACCTGCAGGTTCTCGTGCAAGCAGATGAAGACAAACTCATCGGAGTCGGTCAAGACTCCGAAGAGCGGCATACGCGCCCTTCCGTCAGTGACGGGAGGACTGGAGCCTATCCTGGTATCAGAACCGACAGCAGCCTGGATAAGTCACAGCCCGGTTGGCTTACCTAGATACCCCAGTAATCGAGGTAAGCCCGCCTGGCCGCTTCCCAGCTTCTTGGCCTTGGAAATTATGACTTGATTTGCGTTCTCTGTATGTCTGTCGCAGTAGTTACGGTGTCGAGGTTGGTCTCGACCCCAGTCTCATGCGGGTGCAAGGGTTGTCGATAGACCAGTCAGGCAATAGTCACGAATGGGATATTGATCGGTCCTGTCTCCCGTATGAGTTAGTACAAGACCTTCGGGTAGAGGCACGCTTGCAGGGGTTTGGAACGTACTTCCAATCAACCCAGACTTCGACCCGGGCAGGTGTAGGATAATCGTTTTTCTTGTTGGAGACCCGGGTTCCAGGATTGGCATGCGTAGTTGGGACAAGAGTGGGAACCTTTAGATTTCGCGCCAGGGACATTAGGAAGAAAAGCATAACTTTGAAAAAGATAAAGAGGTAATCGAGCTTGAAGTCACAGACAAGAGTGTGTCATTTGAAGATTTCGTGGTTAAGAAAAAGATTTGAACTTGGTGAGTAGATCTGGAAAGAGCCATGGAGCTGAAGCAATCGAGGAAGTAGGCCTGGGCTGAGTGAGCTAGCTGTGGGTAGCAGGAAGTCACTGTTGGCCTTCCTGATGACTGTATTCATTCACCCCACTCAGCTTTAAATTCACACCTGTTTCGACAGCTTCTATGTTAATGTCTATCAAGATTTGGTGCTTATTCTTATGAATTACCCCTTCACTAAGCTACATATACCAGGTGGAAATAGATCTGTGAATACACTATAATCTTTTCTATTGTAAGAATTCTGTAGGATAGCCTCTGACAATTGTTCAACACAACGCCCAAACAGTGAAAATACCTTGAGGACCGAAGAAGCAACAAGGTAGGCAAGTCTGCAAAGACCATCTTCCTGTATTCACAAATAGTATTATAGTCCATTGTTTCTTGGCGCCCCTCTCAAGACGCACCTAGAGACCCGCACCTAGAGACCCGCACCTAGAAGACATCAATGTGAATGAGGATGAATTACTACAATATGGTTTTTATGATACTCGCTAAGACCGGCTACTGCTGTGCAAGCACAAACCCAGCCTTGAATTGCTACACCAAACGGACAACCAGAGACACACGGCCAGCTACCAATCACTCTCCAGTTACCGGAGCTTGAATCAACGCCTCTATCAGCTGTCACAGCGGCCATGGTACCAGGACGTTGCAATATCTTGCGTACAGCTAAGAAGAGGAAAAACCCAAAAATAATCTACAACGCAGGCACTGGCAAGCCACGTGGCTAGCCACTCATTATCATCAGCCCTGAGCCCTAACCGCAATCAACCTGTCCGAGAGCAGTACACCGAGTGACGCGCCATTCTGACTCAATGAGGAGTCGGGACAACTACAAAGTTCACGGAGCACCCCCAGTCAAGTCGCTTTTGCCAATCAACCTCAGGGCACAGCATTATGCCCCAGCCTCAATCACCATGCCTGGTCTATCCAGCAAGACTGGCCGGAAGGCAAGCCGTCGGTCGCGGCGTCTCATGGACAAGCACTCCCAGAGGTCGTCGCACAGGCACTCGCAGAACTCGCCGCGCGCTCTCAGGTTCCTTTTCCTCTCCGAGCTTCTCGAAATGATCTTCCTGTACCTGGACATGCAAACCTTACTCCTGTCCCGCCGGGTCTGCCACACATGGGACGAGGTCATCCAAGGGTCCCGCAAGCTGCAACAAGCGCTATTCTACATCCCCGACACGACCATTCCCGCCGAACCAGGCCGCCACAATCCACTCAGTATCGACAAACTCTGGTTCAACTTCCCCGGAGCCCCCATGGGCATGCGAGACAGCATGTACGTGGCCGTCTACGGAAGGTCCCGCGCCGCCCTGTTCATGCCGAGAAAACGGGGAAGAAGCGACGATGTATACCGACGTCCCGAGGCGAGCTGGCGCCGCATGCTCCTCCGGCAGCCGCCCACTTCTTGCATCTTGTTCTGGGACCCCGACGCGTTTTACATGAAAAACGCCTATGTCTCCGAAGAAGTCGATGCGCATGCGAAATGAACGCCGGGCGGCGACTACATCCGGATGGGGAACGTGGCGCACTGGGTCGATTCGGGGGCCTTCGTGCCGGGATCCCCCCCGTTCGTCTTCTGGACCAACCCAGGGGCCGGGCGGAAGACTCGCCTGTTCGAGCCCCATCGCGAACTGGAGATCCTGCAGGGACATCTATCCAAGTACGAGCTCGCGGTCATCACGCAGAGCGACCGAGACGCGGGGTATTGGGTTCCCGGCGAGGAGCACAGTCTTCGCATCATGCCGTCGGGATCTCGGAAATGGTTCCACACCGGGGACGTCACGGATGTCATACTCTTGACGGAGGAGTCAAAAGTTAGAGTTGCTGTCTGCTGTTGTCTCAGTCTGTAGGTTCTTTCCATCATTTTCGTTTTCGTTTGGGGGTTATGTTCTCCCACGGCCCGATCACCGTCCTTAGGTCTCGACTTGAACTCGCGTGGCCGCAGACCTTTCCAGCTGGCAGTTATCTTATGTGGTAAACCGGTCCCTTTTAGTGATGTCATGGCTTTTTTCGCATCCTCCATTCTCTTAACTCAAGGACGATCTACCACGAATCTAGAACGGCTCATTCTTTAGGTAAGGTAAGGTAGTAGAACAAGAGACCCCGGCGGCTGTCAAGTATCAAGAAGAGCAAAACAAGCGCACCAACATTGGTGATGGTACTGGGCGAACAACACAAACCAAGCTAGCATAGGTCGTCCTCCTGTAAACTCACATCCTTTCGTTGAAACTAAGAAGTAAAATTTATCGACCGGGCTATCCGTCGAGGTTGATCAAGGGGAGTAATCACCACCGGCCAACAACCCTTGCAAGCGTTGTTGACCGTGAGATCAAAATTGGCCAAGTACCGCTCGAGGTCGGGGCTCCTCTTTAGTTTCAGGCGTCGCTCAGGCTTCTTCATGACCCTGTGCAGTTCCCATCCCTTCGCAAGGCACAGGAACGGCCACGAGGACGGTGTGAATGCTCCTGCGTCTATAGAGTATACCACATTCTTCAATCAGAGGTAGTCTCCATTCAGTTTCCAACGCACGTGGCTGTCGGTAGTTTCGCGATCGCTGCAGTACCGCACGTTAGAGCGTTTTAGGTTCCAGGGACGGACAGCACAAGTTGGGCGGCTGCTGGAGCAGCATGTTCTGCCAACTGGCCTCCGGGCGGAGATACGCTGCTTCGCGCTTTTTCGACGCCATGTCGGGAATCTCGAAGAGCCCGGCACAGCAGACGGCTCCGGGTCTGGTGTACGATAGCAGTGGCCGGTGGATGAACTCGGGCCATATTATGTCGGTGATAAGCGGGTTCTTGGTGCGTGGGGTGGTGTGGCGCTGGCGTTTCGACGGGAATATAGAACAGTGCTTGCTGGATCTTGCGGGAGAATTTGATGGGGGTGCTCCATGTGTGGCAGACTCGAGCTGAAACCAAGAGTGTGTATATATCCAGGCCCAAGAGGATACGTTCTAGAGTCTCGGGGGCGTCGAATATTTTCGACGCTTGAGAATTAGACATCAAACGGTTGGGTCGGCTCTCATAATCCGGCGAGCGACTACCTCTCGCGAATGTGGGCATCATGGACATACAAGTCATTTGGCATGGAACTGCCGGGCCTGTATGAGTACGAGGCTTTTGGAAGGATGTGGTGTTGTCTATCTGCCATGCGGGAAGGGTGTGTTCACAGATATGGTTAAAAATGAGTCACTTCGCTTTTGGGTCAAAATAGCATCATTGCTCCATGGTTCCGTTCGGTTGCATCATCACCGGCTCACAATAATGGGAGTGTTCTGGTGGGTCACGGGGATCTCATCGCGCCTTCTGTCCAGTAGGACGTGGATGTGTGATCAATTCAGCTACGTAAAGCTATCTGGGCAGAATGATGAGGGCCCGACCTGCGGGTGCCTCCCTTGGCCAAAGGCATTGTCGAAGCAGCCTTAGCGAGCCCAGAAGGTCCCGTATTTCTGCCTTTTTAGACATAGTCTTAAGTAGCTGTAGGTCCAACCAAGCACCTGGTTTACAATCTATTTCAACACCAGCGTATATCGTTGTCTAAATACCTGTCTATATGTTTAAGAGCCTGGTTACATAGAGTTTGAACACCAGGACATACGGCTGATTAGGGGTCATTTACACGGCTACTTAAGTACCTAGCTATACATGTCTTGGTATACTCGAAGCAGCATGGAATTTTACATTTTAGATGTCATCTTATATCTTTTTCTCCTGGTGCTCTTAGGGTTCAAAATCAAGTTTCCTATGGTTTTCTTAGGCCCAAAAATTGTACTATCAAGGCCCCTTACTCGGAAATATTGTCAAGCAAGCGTGGGTTGATGATCTGATACAGTGTCTTAAGATATGATTCCAGGTTATTCAGAAGGAGCTATCTACACGTGGCAGAAGCGACGAGAGCTGACCAGCCAGGAGACGTCATTACAAACAAACCCAGCGGTGGCATCCACAAATGCAGTCATAAAGGTTTACAATGCTTGCGCTTGACATTGTTTACAAATATTAACTTCCACCACACCTATAAACCGCTGTTATTTTTTGGTGAGTTTTTTGACGTCGACATAGCTTGAATACAAATATTACATGCATGCATTCTTCCCAGCATCAGTAATTCTGTAAGAATAACTATTGTCGCTAGTTGTGATATTTTGTTTATAGAGGTGAAGTACATTCCTAACAGTACTGTCTTGTGTTCAGCTGAGTCAATGAACTAATGTACCTCGACGCATCACATACGGAGGCCCAATCACATGACATCTTGTGGCCGAGGCTAGGGTTGAAATGGATAGATAACACCTTGCACTTTACAGCGCAGCGCGTGTTCTTAACCCCATCATGTATGCTCAAGTTGTCGTCTGACAAGAGACGAATGGATGAGTCTTTGTCGCAACCATGAGTGGCCGAGGGTTATGGAATCAACATGTAGATGGTGAGCTTCTCCCTATACCGAGCAACTACGTACTATCCTGTACAGTACTACATCCCTAACGCCGTACAGGAAAATGGTACCGCTTCTTCGACGCGCCCCGCGCCATCATCTCTCCCGCATCACCCGCGACGCTGCGAGTCCTCCAGCTCTGGGCCGCGGACACATTCGACCTCACGCCGTGGGAGCTCGCCCCATTCCCCTCGCCCCTGCACAGCGATCTGGACGTCGTCTACACGATCGACAAGGACCGCGGACTGTTGACGGTCGCGCAATGGGATAGCACCGACGGTGTCCCATCCCGCCTGACTCGCCAGGTTAAACTTGCTAACATCTACGATCCTTCGGTTCGCACACTAGATGCGGTTCTCGCCGAGAAGGGGAATGCCGTTAAGCAGCTTCGCATCCCGAGACCTCGCCTCCCGGCTATCTTTCCGGCCATGGATTGGCCGATCGAGCCGCCCACGCCGCTGAACGAGCTTCAATTCCGCTGTTTCGTCGACTTCGTCCGTCTGTGGCGGTTTTATCTTGACGACCTGTCAGGTTGGTCGGATCGGTCTCTCCTCCGGACGATGGCGATGGGTGTCCTGCGCATCGCGGCATGGGATTTTGAGGTCCGCTTCGGCGGGGACACGGCGGATGTGCCTGCTACATTCTCCTCGTTACCGCGATGGCCAGCTCCCGCTAACGATATCTTCTGGTTCCATGGGTTCCTCGTCACTTTGTACAGTCCTTTTGAGTCACTCGACCAAGCGGTCCACAATGCACAAGCCTACTTGGAGAACAGTCAATGCAGCACACCGACCGTCCGCGTGCTCCTCCTCTCGCTCAGCCACGTGACCCTCCTGGAGGTATCCGGCCCCAGTGCGGAGTGCTCTCCAACTTTACCTCTGATCACCGACTCGTCAGCACTACACCCTTCCCCGGGATTCCGGGCTCTAGCCTCTCTCCTAACCTCGCAGACTTCAAAAACGCCCCGATGCGCGAGAGAGGAATGGGGCGTGAACCTCCCGACAGAGATCTTCGAGACCATGGTCCTAGCCCTGCCGTCCCGGGACCTGGTATCCTTTGCGCAGGCATCGCTCAGAGTCGAAAAATGGTACTATGCATCCTCGTCCTCCGTTCCCCAGCTCGGCGGCCTCTGCGTGCAAAGCTTCGAGTTCTCACGGCCGTGCTGTGGCGAAGGCTATCAGCCTACCGGGGGAAGTGTCGCCTGCTCCATCTGTTACACATGGTCTCACACGCACTGCCTTGGTTTAGGAACGCTTCCCCCCAGCGAGGTGTTCAAATGTGCAAGCTGTCAGCAGGACGCGACATGCAGCGAGTTGGGGAATGGTGGGATTCACCGAACGTACCTCACGGGGCGGTGCACCACGCCCGCAAGGTGCAGGGTGGCTGTCGACGGGGCGACGAGATTGCTGACGCTGCGCACATCGGAGCCCGCTGCTCTGCGGCCGGAGTTGCGGGGCTCCACTAGTGGCTTGACAATTTCTCCTGGCGAGACGAACTATGCGATCTGTTTCAATGGGGTTTTCTCGGGTCTGGCGTATGGGCTGGATGATTGTGATGAAGGATGAGAGAGAATCTCTCCGCATCCGGGGTCGAGTCGGTCTGATGGAGGGAAGTGCAGTACACCTTGTTAGTCTGCTGAATAGGAGATAGGCCGGAAGCCTTGGCGACCAGAGGGACAGTAGATTACCTCAATCTAGCGAATCACCGGGCCAAGCAGCAAGGAAATGAGCTGTCGGCGGTCTGGAGGCCTAGCAGTCGTTCGTTCCTCGGACAGCCTCGCGTAGCCTGAATTCATCCAGGTCCCGAGTCCTCCCATATCCTTGTCCTTGACCAGAGGCCCCAGGGCCATTGGCCAACAGCCTTGCTAGTCCTCATAGAAGCACAGTCACCGTAGCGTATACGTGAGTACTGTAGTCTTGGGAAGCAGCAACCTGGTGGCCGAGTCCTCCTTAGGCATGGACTGTCATAGATATCGAGTCTCTCAGACAATGAGAGAGCCCATTGGCTCGCATGGAAAGCCACTGCCTGGCCTATTAGTCCAGTCCGCTTCACATCTATCAAGGTTCAACCGTGGAGAGGGTGGTCCAGACCACCCGGGTTACAGCAACAGGGCTGGCGGAGGGACGAACTCGAAGGATCCATGATCTGCTCCGTGTATGCGTTCTGCGGCGTCGCTCATGTGGACTGCTTCTTGTCTGGATAGGTTTCGTATTTGATCCACGTGCAGCTGGGGTCCCGTCCCGGGGGTCAGGTCTCCCCGGAGATTGAATGGTCTCGGTGGAGTCTTGTTGGGACGACAGGCACATCAGGATGGGGATGGTTCGACTAGGACGGGGAGCTCTCGTATCAATGGTTGCGGGCAGTCAGCATCAACCACTCAAATCCCACAGCGTGAAAAAGGCCTTTGCATGTAGGACTCGCGCTGGTCAGATGCAACGCGACATCGCCGCCTGGTTCCTTAGTTCCGGACCAGAGAGAGCTAGCTATCAGCTGAGCCCTCTCGCGGACTGTCCCTTCATGCCAATTGCAGAGCACAGTCGATGTTCCATGCTCCCCTAAGATGAGCTGCTCTGAATGGCACGTCCTCGAACGATCAAGTCGACTATCGAGCACACCAAGTCTCACAAACCACAAACTTCGTGTTGATGCGAATTCGCGCCCACGCTCACAACCATTGACAAACGAAGGAGTAAACTCAATGGCCATGCGACCCATCTCCTCGGAGCTATACCGTCGGCAAGAGCGCTACAGTCTCCAGACGTACGATTGGAGGGCGAAGAGCGCTTGCTCCCAGACGAAAAACACAGACCATGTGGCCCTTTCTCCCATGCAGTGCAACTTCAGAACATTGGGCAGCGCTGGTCTGCGACGCAATCAGTTCTCAACATTGTATCACCATGGGGCGCCGGGAAGCTTGTTTGTACGACCGGTTCGTGCGGAGGGAGCTGAAACACGCATACCACGTACAACGGCATCCGGGGTCATCTTGGATCAGCTAGCCATGTATGAGACAATTGGGTAAGCTCTTTCTCTCCCATACCCGATGATAGCCGGGTCTCAGCTTTTTGGCTCTCTCCCCACCCCGCAAGCTCACTTGTAGGGTGTTACACTATGGACGTGCGTCCATCAGGAGCATGGATTGAGGCCCGCCTGATGCCGCCAGTAATCTCTTCGCCTCGCCCCATTGAATGTGCTGGATGTTTTGTCATTGGGAATTGACCACCACCACCTCCTCATATCATGACGTTCATCCATTCCAGGATGGCAGCCGGTCCCGGCATCATCCCTGCGCGTTCCCGTGAAGAGAGCGTCCCAGCTTCCCAGAACAAGATTAAGCTTGGATCCCACGGCATGCGTTACGAGGTCAATTGCAAACGCAGCTGACCCCCGACACGAAGTAGTCTGGATCTGGACCCTGCAGGAGAGAATGCAGCGACGGCAATCGTCATGTTTCAGTCAACGGGGCGGGAGCATCGATACGAGAGACCAAGACCGCTATCCCAGCAGCGCTGCGGATGATCACTGCGCATGGAATGCCCAGCTGCGAGTATAAGAACCCCATGGACTCCCGCAGGATTGTCATCTGTCTCCCACTCTCTCAGTCCCGCAGAACAACCAGACAATACCAGAAAAGTTCAGCCTCGAATCCTGCAATGCTCTCTCTTCAAGCCCTCATTCTCCTCCTTCTCGACGGTCTCCAAACCGTCCAAGCCCAGGGAGGCCCGCTTCCCTGCACCGGTCCCACGCGCGCCTGCGCCGCGCACATCACCGACGGGGCCAACCCGACCCCGCCGCTCTCCAGCCGACTGGCCGACTGCTCCAGCTATCAAGCTGTTGTGGTCACCCCGGAGCCCACGTAAGCCTTCCAAGTTCGCTTCAGTTCCTCCCCCCTCCCCGCCAGCTTGCGGAAGTTCAAAACCAAAAGCACCGGTGCAAGGGACACCACTAACCCAATCCCCATCATCCCGCGTCGCAGAACCCTAACCACAACCGTCGCGACGACCACCGTAACCGTCACCACGATCCTGGGCTACCCGGCGCGGCGCGGCATCGCCGCCGCCCAGCAGGTGACGTCGACGCCGACGGCGGTGCCGACGTACCTGGACGACCCGTGCCACGACGCGAGGGTGTACGGGGCGGCGTGCGCGTGCCTGGGGGTGCCGCGCACGACCACGACGGCGGCGACGCCGACCGTGACCGAGTCGGTCACCTCGACGACCTTCACCACGGTGACCATCACGCCGACCCCGGGCGCCTGCATCGGGCGGATCTGCCCGGCCTACGAAGTCTCGGAGTGCGGCCTAGGCGAGTTCGGCGCCTGCGCCTGCGGCCTCGACGCCACCGGCGCCAGCTTCTGCTTCGTCGGCTCCGAATGCCCGCCCACCACCTGCGCCGTCAACGCCGACTGCCCCGAGGGCTCGCGCTGTCTGGTGGGCAGCTGCTGCTTGCGCAATATCTGCGCCGTCGAGGCGCCGGAGGAGGCCTGCACCTCGGGATTGCGGCGGCGGCGGCAGCAGCAGCAGCAGGGGGCTGCGGTGGAGGTGGCCGCCCTGACGGCGGGGAATTGTACCAGTATCTCGCCGTGCGAGGATGGGGAGCGTGTTTGAGAGGACGAAAGAAATCTCACTTTCCTCGGGGAGGAACTGAGGTGGCGGACTGGGGGTGAGGGGAAAGGTTTGGGTCACTCGTTTGGTTTGAGTTTGAGTTCGATGCTCTTTCGTGACTTTGTGTGAAATTGTTGTTTTGTTCTGCTTTGCTTGTCCTTTCTGCTTACTTATCCTCGTGTTGCTGGATTTGTTTCAAAAATCGCGACCCCAGATTGTAGCTCTATCAAATGTCGCTTTATGATGTTGCAAGTCCTTTCGCGACGTGAGCCTCGCTCACCCCGTATGAAAACACAAAATCTCGGGCGCCTTGGAGCGAGCCCAGTAAAGGTGAATACTTTCTATACGGTGAGTAAGTTTGGTAACGAATTGACCGGTGTTGGTCCGTCCGAGATCTATAGTCTTTAGCTTCAGCGAAGCTGTCACCCACCGTAGCCCACTTAGGTGCTGTTGCTGAGAAAGGAAAAGAAAGGGGAAGAAAAGAGAAGAGAAGCAGCATTGGGGTGACTGAGCATCGACCACTTCAACTACTCCCCAGGGCTTGGAATAGTAGATTGCTCCCACTCCATACAAGATGAACCCTCGGCATAGCATCACGGGACTTCCGCTACTCCCGCCTCGTCTTCTTGACCGACCGCCATTCCATCCCCAGACTCCCCACCCCCGTCGCACACGCCAACCCCACCACCAAATACCACGTCTGCACGAGACTGCGATCGATCGCCCCGCGTGCCTGCACCGCCTTGTCCGCTGACAACCCCATCACAATCTGCGTCAGCCCCATGCGATCCACCTCCTCCCCAGTAAGCCCGGGCACCACACCCCCCAGATTATGTGCCAGCTGGTTCACGAACAGCACCTGCGCGATCGCCACCGCCACCGCCGGTCCAAACGACTGCGCGAACAGCATCACCGACGTGCCCAGCGGGACGTCCTCCGGAGGCAGAACGGTCTGCACGGCGTTTTGTGGTCCGGAGAAGCCAATCCCGTATCCTAGCCCCGAGAAAGCGGTGTAGAGGAGCAGCTGCGCGAGGCTGGTGCTGACTTCGAACGTGGTGATCAGCCCCGCGGCGACGGGCATGATGATCGAGGCGGCGATCATAAACGGGGCGTAGTAGCCCAAGATGCTGGTTCCGAAGCCGTGGACTAGTGCGCCGACGGTCCCGGCGATGATGATGGGGAGCATCATGTACCCGCTCTGGGCCGGGGTGTAGCCCCGCACCACTTGGTAGTAGGTCGGCAGGTAGTATTCGAGGACGTTGCCGGTGCTGTTGCCGCAGGCGATGAAGATGCTGCCGGCGATGATGCTGCGGTGTTGGAGGATGCGGAGGGGCAGGGCGGCGGTGTTGCCTTGGCGGTGTTGGTTGTAGATGAAGCTGCCCATAAGGACGGTGAAGGTGACGAGGGGCGCGAGTACGGGGATGCTGGACCAGGGGTACTTGGTTCCGGCCCAGGAGAAGGCCAGGAAGAGAGCGGTTAGGGCGGGGATGAAGAGCAGGTTGCTGAGGAGGTCGAGCTGGGAGAGCTTTTGCTTGAGGGGGATGTGGGCGAGGTGGTCGGGTTTGGGCGGGTCGGAGAAGCAGTACATTGTTAAAAGGAGGGTGACGACGCCGATGGGCGCGTTGAGGTAGAAGCACCAGCGCCAGCCGAGGGACTGCACGATCGCTCCGCCTAGGAGGGGTGCGGAGAGGGTGGCTAGACCTTCGATGGCGCTCATTATCCCGGTGAACATGGGCCGTCTGCGGAGGGGTGTGGAGTGGACGAGGATCACGAAGCATCCAGATAGTAGACCCGCCGTGCCGAGGCCGGTGACTGCCCTCCCTACGATGAGCATGGGTGAAGTTGTTGCCGCCCCGCAGAGCAGTGAGCCTGCTATAGAGATGACATTGGCAATCAGGAAGACACGCTTGATCGAAAAGAGCTGATACGCTCTGCCAAAAACAAACTGGAAGGCGCACTGGCAGAGCCGGAAGGCGGAAGAATACCAACCCACGTCGGCAATGGTGTGGAAATAGTCGGTTATACTGGGAATGGCTGTGGCAACGATGTTCATGTCGATGCTGATAAGAATCAGCACCGCAGCCAGGGTGAGCATGAGCAACCAGAATTTGGTGCCCGTTGGGTACTCGGGTTCGCCCTGCGCATCAGTCGGGGTCAGATATTCCATCGAATGTGGTATGCTGTCTGCTGGGAGTATGGCCATTCCTGTTGCTGGCTATATCACCGGAAACTTGCGACATCGTCTGCAGACTGTTTTTGATAGCTTCTGTTTATTGCGAGATTTGCTGGCAACCCCTCGACGAGGCTTGATAGCCTTGGCAAGGGTGATTACTAACAGTGCATGCAGCCTCAAATTATAGTTCACTCAATTATTCCCAACTCACAGTGCGGATTCACAAAGCCATTCTACTCCAATCCATCGTCAAATCCCTGCTTTCAGCACGAGTACATATGTGTGCTCCTCCAACATAGCAGATCCACGCCGAAGCAACACTTATCACGCTCCATCCAAAAGCCCAGCCAGCACAGCGCCAACCGTCGTAATCAGCGGTGCATACCCCCAGTGACCCCATTGTCCCTGTCCCCATGTCCAACAGACCGCCCCGTCGGCATAGGCCACCGCACTGCCCGCCAGCAGCGTCCACCCGAGCGACTTCCGAGTCCCGTAGAAGGAGGCAGCGTAGATCGCCAAACCCATGAAGATATCGCGGACGCCGTAGATGTGCACGAGACTGTTGACCAGTTGTCGCTCGGGGAGAGTGGTGGGCGGTGCCCATTCGAAGAAGGTCAAGGCGTGCTCGGGGCGGAGGAGAGCGTTGACCCCGAATCCGATGAAGATGGTCCCGAAGGCGTTGGCGACGTGGGGGAGGGCGGTGTGTTGGGAGAGAGGCATTTCTGGATATTGACGGGTGATAACACTGGAAATTGTTGGTGATGGCTCAGGTATTGTTGATTAGACAGTTTGTGGGATGATGAGTGGTTGGTTGGTGGATGCACAACACAACCGTGAGTCTTGCGCGTGTAAGGATACTCTAGTGGGTGGTAGAGGTGGCTCCCACATATGGGTCGATTGATTAGTGATGGGTAGTGGCCCCACCAGAATATCAGCATAATAAGGGTCAGTACGGAGTAGTGGCGCGGTTGTCAAGGACAACATGCGCATAACGGCTAGGTGCTGGGCCTTGGTGATTAAGATAGCTCAAGACATTATCCCTTAATCTAAAGAATATACTGAACTTTATCCCCAAATAAAACAACCACAGTATACAGGAGAAAAACGCCACCGCCGACACATCCGGCTGTCGCGCTTTTAATAAAGCCAGGACAAGGTTCACTGTATCGGCGTGTGCGTGTAACGCCTCGCTTCAACAAGTCACATGATTTTAAATTAAACTGGATATATATAAATACTACAAATTTGTAGAGATTTTTTTTTTTAATAATTAAATAATTTTATAAGGTATTAAGCTTTCCTCTTTAAGTAAGTAAATTTATTAGTATTATATTTATAATTAATAGATTATAAGCCCAGCTTAAGCTTAAAGCCTTTATTTAATTAATTTTTATTATTTTTTTTTATTTTTTAGTATTAAGTACTAAGAAGATCTTTTTACTAATTATATAGTCTACTAAAAAGTACTAGACTAAATTAAATATTTTAATTAACTAATAAATTTAGTAATTAAAAAAATATATTTATTAATTAGTAATAATATAGTAGATAATTAATATTACTAAGCTTCCAGCCTTAACAGGTGTAGGTAACTATTAAATCTAGTATAAGATTTTAAAAATATATTTTTATTTATAAGGCTTTTAAAAAATAGTTTTTAGTACTAATATAAGACTTATTTAATTTTTTTTATTTATTTAGTCCTCTAGTAAAGCTGAAGCAGCTGAAAATTTTTAAGTTATATAAAGTATATTTAAATCTACTGGCTTTGGCTCTGGTAAAGCAAATATTAACTTTACTATATATAAAAAAATATTAAAATACTTTAAAAAATAGTTATTTATATAAAAAGTTAAAAATAAAAAGATTATTAAAACTATTTATACTATACTAACTATAGAAATTTAATATAGTATTATTAATCTTAATAGTATAAAAAAAGTCTAGAATAAGCTAAAAAAATACTTTAATATTATTTTTAATATATAGTTATTTAAAAAACTATAAACTGCTATATTACTACAGTATAATAACTATAAAAATATTAATAAATATATTATAAAAATATTTAAAGTATTAGATAAGTTTTAATATAGTTTTACTAATAATAAAAAACTTAGTAATAGTATATATATTTAGTTTTTTTTTTATAATTTTAAAAAATAGTAGTCTATTTTTTTAACTTTTTATTTTAATTCTTAATATGTTAAAGGAAGTATAATATAGGATTAAATTATTTAGATTTTTATATAAAAAAAATATATACCTAGTTTAATTCTAGTAATACTAATTTTATAAAAATATTTAAAGGCCGAAAGTTAAATAACTCCAAGTCTAAAAATTAACAGAGTAAAAACAATTAGTCTAAAAAAAACAACTTTAAAAAAAAATTTTTAAAATATTTATAAAAACTAGACTTATAATTATTATAGTAAAGTTGGGTATAAAAAGCCTAGCTGCTAAAAACTATACCTAAAATTAAAACTATTTAAAACAGTAAAAAATACTAAGACTAATATTACTAAAAATAAGTAGTTTTTTACTTTATTAGTATTTTTAGCTATTAGCAGCTATAAAAAAAAAGGCTACCAGCAGATATAAAAAATAAAAAACTATTAATATTATTAATTATAATATTACTATAGTATATTTTAAATATACAGATAACTGGATTATTAACTTAGATTTTACTAAACACCTTATTAAAAATAAAAATAGTTTTATATTTAAAACTATAAAGCTGTATAAATAAAAAATTAAAACTACTACTAATAAAATTATATACTTAGTTAGTACAGGTAATATAAAATTAAAGCTAATATATAGTTCTAAAAAATTTTATACAGTTAAATAAATAAATATATTATATATTTTTAATATTAAGATTAATTTACTTAAAGTTATATATTTTATAAAATTTAGTTTTACTACTTTTTTATATTCTAATAAAATAATAATTTTTAAAATAAATAATAAAAAGATTATTAGCTGAGAAGATATTATTAGAAATTAATATATTTTTTATCTTAGCTGTAAAGTAGTTAATATAAAAATTACTACTAGTAATATTACTAATTTTTTTATTTTAATAAACTATTTTAATTTAGTAAAATATACTATTAAATCTTTAATTAGTATATTATTTATTAAATTAAGTAATTAAACTATAAATTACTATTTTTATTTTTATAATACTAGTAAATAGTACTAGAAATATATTTTTAATATAAATAAAAGCTGTATTAATCTATTTACTTAGTACTAGTATTTTATTTATTTTTTATTACTAATTATATTAAGCTATTAAAAATAGTAAATAGTATAGATATTAAAGGCCTTACTATTTTAAAGTATATCTACTAAATATATTAATTAGCTAATATTTTAGTATACTAAAGCTATATATAAATAACTCTGCTGTAGTAATACAGCTAGTATATATTTTTAATATTAGCAGTAAATATATTAATATATTTTTAAATAAAAAATCCAGTGCTTAATACTGGATGTTTTTTATTAATATATATAACAGCTAGATTAATATTAGGCTTTTTAAAATAAAAAAAAATAGTATTTAAACTAAAGCTATTTATTAAAAAGTTAGATTATATACTATTTAAAGTTAAATCTCTATACTTTAATAATATATCTAAATTTTAAAGTAAAAATATAATTACTTAGATATACTATAAAAATATTAAATAAAAGTTTATAGTATTATATATCTACAGCTAAAATATATTTACTAAATATATTAGCTTTACTATTTTAACTTATATATATATAGTTCTCTAAAACTAAGATTTTAATAAAAGCCTTTAGAAAAAAATTATAAAAAAAGTTAAATTTTTAAAAAACTTATTACTAATTTATAATAAAATAATAACTGTATAGAAAATATATAACAGAATATATTTAAATCTATTAACTTTATATATTTTTAATTACTATAGTATTATAATAATTTTTAAAAAAGTCTATAGTAGAAATAGGATTTTAAAAATTTAACTATACAGCTAAGTAATTTAACTACTTAAATATACTAGTCTAGTAAAGTAATATAAAGTTTTAAATATTAAAAATAATAAAATTATTACTATTTATAATATCTATTTTAATAAAGAAAATAATCTAAAAATATATAAATTATTAAATAATAATTATAGCTACTATTAAGTACCAGCTTTAGTAATTCTACTAATAAAAAATTTATATAAGTATACTTTAGATAACAACTCCAGTAATACTAGTAATAAAAAAACTATTTAAAAATATTTTTATATACTAAAAATATTAAAGTATTAATATTAACTAATAAATAATATTAGTTTACTAATATTTTTTATTTATTTTAATAAATTTAGTTTTAAGTATAGTAATAAGCTGATATTTTTTATTAAAAATCTTTTTAAATAAAAAAAAATTTAATTTTTATATTTTATTAAATAGGCTTTTACTGCTGGAACTGTTAAAAAAAACAGCAGCTATAAGTATATTATTAAACTAGTTATATATAAATAAGCTATAAAATTATCTAAAGTATTTTACTAGTTTACTATAATAATTAAAAAAATTTTAATATTTTAAAAATAAAAAATATAAAAATTAGTAGAACTGCCTACCGGCTGAAAAGTAATATTAAAGTAGTAGATATATAAAGTTAAACTTAATATAAATAATAAAATCTATAGATTTAAAATCTACTATATTACCTATAGTTTTTTATAAATTTATAAAATTAATTATAATTTTATATTTACTTCTACTGTAAAAACAGTAATAGTAAAAATATTTTTTACTATTATAGTAGTATTTAATTATATTTATAAGTAGAGTAATATTAAGTAAGTTTTTTTTTATAAAAAGTTTTATAATAATAAAAAAATCTATATAATTTAACTAACTGGATTTAAGAATAGTAGTATTAAGATTTATAAGCTGTTTTTATTTATTTATAAATTAAAGTAATCTGCTAAAAACTGGTATTATAAGTTTTTTACTGCAGCTACTAGTATTAGAATAGTAGTATTTTAAGCTAATAAATATTTTTTTATTAAAAAATATAAAAAATTAATAATTTTTTATATTAATAATATTTAAATTGCAGCTTCTACAGAGAGCCTTATTAATACTATATTTTAAAAACTTTTAAAAAGCTTTATAATTATTAACTTTAGTAATACTTTATAATATTTTAGTATAAAAATTAAGTATATAAATAAAATTCTATAATTTTTTTAAAGTATTTTTTTTAATATATTATTAAGGCTGCAGATCTAGCAAGTAAAAAGATCTATAAAATACTATTAGATAAAGATATTAAACTTATTAAAAGTATATAGTAAGCTTTTAAAAAAATATTAAAAATTATTAAATAAATATTAAAAGTATAATATATTTAATAATATAAATATATTCTAATATTATATTTACTATTAGAAAATTTTTATAGTATATAAATAATTCAGCTAAGTAATATATAAATAGTTTTTTTTTACTATATTAATATTTATAAAAAATAAGTAGATATAGTCTTTAGTATAAAGCCTATATAAAAAATAATAGTCTAGCTAAATAAATTAGTATTATAATTGGCTATATTAATACAGATTATACTAAATATTTTAATATATATTATTTAATTTTTAAATATATTTTTATATAGGTAAATAGTCTAATTTTATAGGCTTTATATTTCTAATTCTGTATTATAGTTTTTATATATAAAGCTGAATATATAGTATTTTATACAGCAGTTAAAAAAATCTACTGGATTATCTATATATTTAAAAATATAGGCTTTAAAAATATATATTTAATAATAATATATATTAATAATAAAGGTACTATTATATTTATCTAAAATAATTAGTTCTACTAATAGACTAAGTATATTAATATTATATATTACTAGATTTATAAAGCTATATAGTATAGTAATATATATTTATAATATATTAAATTTTCTAAAAATCTTACAAATATTTTTACTAAGCTGTTTAAAAATATTAAGTTTAAATACTTAATTAAATAACTGGATATATTAAACTTTTTAACAGTATTACTAACTGCTAATTACAGAGGTATAGTTAATACTTTTTTTTAACTAATTAGCTACCTGTTTAAAAATACTATAAAAATTATTATATTACTTTATATAAAAAAAAAACCTTATAGTTAACTTATTATAGAAATATATTAGTATATATATATAATACCTTACTTTAACAAGTTATATAATTTTAAATTAAACTAGATATATATAAATACTATAAATTTATAGAGATTTCTTTTTTTTTAATAATTAAATAATTTTATAAGGTATTAAGCTTTCCTTTTTAAGCAAGCAAATCCATTAGTATTATGTTTATAATCAATACACTGCTACAAGTACAAAAATAAAAGGTTAATACAGGTATAGCTAAAGAAAGTAGCCAGGTTACTGCCGACAATGATTACAAATCCGACCTATACAATAAGCAGAGCCAATGTAAAAAGTAGTATAAACAGCATATAAGGTTTGTTGATTAGGCCGGTAAAAAGAAGCTGTATAAACTGTATTACCAGATTTAGAATAAGGAGACTAATTGATGTATTGTCGCGGGCCTTGGTTTACTCCGGTAAGTAGACTGCTGCTATATTTAGTAGGATTTAAATTATTAAGTAGATAGGGTGTAAAAAAGGTAAGATTAGATAGTTAGTAATAAGGATAGCAAAAAGGGTTAAAGTTGTAAGAAAAGTAAGTACTAAGACTACCAAGCCGAGGAGAAAAAATAATGGAGATACTAATAGACGCCCCCTAAAAGGCAGGCAACCGGATAAATAAGAACTGATTAATCAGACTGCTTGATATCAAACCTATTCTTAAGACTATAAAAAAAAGAGAAGAAAGAAGGTGAGGGAAGAGAAGGGAGGAAAGAAGAATATCACCACCCTAATACCACTTACTAAACAAGGCAGGCATAGCCCTTCCACCGCTCCTGCCGCCTCAGTAAGGTACCATAGAGGCGGTAATGCACAGAACCGGGCCACCCGCTGCCTACTACTACTACAACAACCACCAACACATTCCTCTTCCAACATTAATATTGTATATCAAAAATCTTCAAAGTGTTCAGAATACAGACTAAGTACTAATTCCCATATAAAAACACCTTACTCATTATTAAAAACAATCTAGATTTTTTGATATTTAAACAATAATACAAATATCTAGAAACAAAACCTTTCTAGGCAATTTTTAAATAATACAAGTAAGGCCTTACAAGGGCCTTTCTAAGCACCTGGGCAAGCAAATAAGTAAGGCCTTATAAGGGCCTTTCTGATATCAGTGACTACAAGTTGCTGATGGCAAAAATATAATAAATGGATTATTACTTGATTAATTCCTCTGTCTAACTAGCTAGCGGCAATGTATACAAGGCCTTGTTGAAGGAGGTGGCGTTGGCATATACCTGTAGTAATGGACAGGTCAGAAATGACTATGTCTCTTGACAGTCTTTACCATCTTCAACTTGTATAGATTTCGACAATCGTCATCGTCCAGTTGCTCCACCTGACAGGAAAAGTGGGACTACCCGCCCGGTCCAGTTTGTTATCGTCCGATCCACATTCTCCCGGTCCCCGTGTATGGGGACTATGCTCTCATGGCTCTCTACTGCGAACCGCACATCACCAGCGGTAAAAGTCCCGACCGTATGGAAGCCACATTTTCCGGCTATTGAACTCTGGTCACATCCATCGGGTATTCTCTGGTCGATGCAGCCTTGTGACAACACTCGGAACTCTACGACTGGCAAGGCCAATCCATGATGATGGGCTGACAACATGGTTCCAACGCCTCCGCGGGGTAACGTAAACCTTGCCCACGCCATCCCAGAATCACCCTCTCAGGACCCCAGGGATACCGCCGTGCATCTGCAGGAAATCAATAGTCCCTGCAACTTCTTATCAGCTCCTGCGCCAATTCTCCGAAAGCAATCACAGCGGGGATGGGCGTGTAACACGGCTGTTGATTGGGTTCCTGGTGACGCGAATGGGGATGGCTCCACGGCTCCTAGGTAATTAACTAATCCTCCATCCCCTTCCCTGGTGCAGTTGAAGACCCATTTCGGCGAGCTGCAAATGCAGGACGCCGTCGCTATTGGCCTCCTGTGGACCCCAACACCACATCCAGTGTCTTTTGACCGGATTCGACCTAATGCGGTGCTGTCACTCCCTGAGCAAGACGTCAGACCAGATGCCCGAAGGGTTAATTTCCATCTGTCGAATCCACCAATAGCCACAGCAAGACGGTGTGGAACGTGCATAAGCGGCTGCAGCCATGCTGGCGACGGCACACGACGGGCGCTTAAACGTATTTTTAACCCTCCGCCCATTGGGTTCCGTTCCCTCGGGTCCGCGACTTTTCTGATCGATTGGCTGTGGTCGGAGGGGATTTGCTATCATTAGAATTCCGAAAATAACCCAAATTGGAGGAGATGAAGGGGGGCCGCGTTGGTCTCCCTTCACCACCGGGCTTACCCCTCTTCTGAACCCTGACCATCAACACCCAGGGTTATATTTCCCTGGGTTGCCTGCACTCCTCAGGCCGTGATCTTTTTCTCTGCACAACTCTCAGTCTGGCCTGGAGTTGAAAGTGGTCCTAACTTACCACACTCAACTTTTTCAATCGACCTCTTACTCCTTTTTGTCATCATGGTTGGCGTGCGCCTGCCTCGCCCCGCGGGCGTCTATGTGCCAGCCCGAAGTCTCAGCCCTGATATGATCTCGTCCCCTCTGTCGCCCAGTTTCAATTTCGACTCGGAAACCCTCACCCCCTCTATCATCCCCGCGCTCGAGTACATTTCCGCCAAGCTAGAACAGAAAATGATGCACGTCACGCTCCTGGTGGGCCGGGGCAAGCCCTACCCGACCGGCGAGCCCTCGGACCTCATCATCATCCCCATCACCCCGCTCGACGCCATGACCTGGCCGATTGTTTACCGAATGGTGGCCAAAGCAGCCATCAAGTTCTCCCTCGGGCAAAGCTGGATCGATGCGCTGAATCGGAGTCTGTACGAGAGCGCCGCCAACGACTACCTGAAGCAGCAATCCATCATGCAGAACGAGGTGATCTTCAGCCGTGAGGGGCTGACGCTGCTCAATGTCGACCGGATCTACACCTTCAAGCGGCGCTTGTGCATCCTCTCCAACCGCGGCGTGGCCCCCGAGGAATCCTACATCACATCCTGCACGCAGCTCCTGCATCGCACCATCCAAGACTTCCACGGTCGCCCGTTCAGCAAGGCCTTCTTCCACCGCGTCTACGAGCAGCTGAACGTGTCGGACGAGCTCCTCACTCACGTGGCCAACGCCTACAAGAAGCAATACAACGACGACGGCATCATCTTGCCCCCGCAGCCCAAAGCCGAGCCCCCGCGGAAGATCGAGCAGCTTCGGAAGGGCGAGCAGCCTCGCAAGTCCCCGCGCTCGACCCGTGCCCTCCGTCAGCAGGGCCCTCCGCCCACCCGCTACGTGATCCCCAGCAAGCGTGGGCCCAAGACGCCGTTGTCGGCGTCGGACGTCACGCCCATCACGCAGAACGAGTGGAACATGGTCATCGGGCCGGACTTTCCCCATCACACCAAGGCGACGGTCACCAAGTGGACGCCTTCTCCTACGGTTATGGCGGCGGCGTGATGAAACTCGACTGTCCAAGATTTCACATCATGTCTTGTCGACTTCAACAAACCAGAAGTTGAAGTGCACCATCAAAAGCAGAACTCACCTGCTACACCCACGCAATACTCCCACCAGAACCAAGGTGAGCATCCTCGAGACGGTGTCATGAAGAGTTTTATACTGACCATCTCCCGGCAGGAATTGGCAGTTGAAACACTCCACTTCCCACGGTCGCATCCAACCAACACGACCGTTCATGCCTTGGTCTGGTGGAGCTACCCGAGCATGTCGGCAAACGGACCAACAGGCCATAGCTTTGTGGGGGGTAACTTGCCGCCGGAATCGCAGGCCAGCATCCCGACTCCGAAATAATAATGACCGGGTTGATGAAGCAGGGGTGGGAAGAAAAGACTACCACGACTCAGTATCACCTGGGAATCCCGATAGAAACGGGAAGTGTAGGGTCGCTTGCAGTCCCGAATCATTAGTGACCGCAACCGTAGTCCATGCCAAGGACTGGCCTGTACATTAGAAGCTTGGCGGGGAAAGAAGATATCGGCGCCCTCCGGCGTGGCAATTGTCGCGATGGCTCCTAGCACAAGGATTCATTGTATGATTATCTAGAATGAAAATATCTTAGAAACAGATTGAAGAGTATCAACTAGAGCTCCCCCGTCAAATTTATCTACGAAAAACAACGATGTCCGCCCAGCCAACCCCTCCCAACCACCAGCGGACACCTCCGAAAGATCCCGCTCCGACACGCCTGCGTGCGGAGAAAATCTTCCCAAGCTCCACTGCACAGGAACCAACGCAGCTATTGAGAAAAACATCCTCAGTAATTAACCAGTCATCACGAAGCCAATTCCTCGCGGATGATCCACTCTTCTACAAGGTGTTGATCGGGTTGATAATTCCCCCCGCTAAAAATTCTTATCGCACGCCTTATCAAACCCAGTTTTCCGGCATACTGCCCCTCCCTCGCGAACATTCAAATCCTGCCTCCCCCGCACGTTGGCCGCGGGCTCCCACCATCCTCCAGCCCCGATTTCATTAACAGAAACAACAACAACAACAACAACAACAACAACAACAACAACAACAACAACAACAACAACAACAACAACAACAACAACAACAACAACAACAACAACAA